TCATCCACTATTTCGCGCCCAACAGGTTTGCTGTTTTTAGCCCCCGCCCCTTGTTAGCAAAATCCTGGCTACACCACAGTTGGGCTGTGTTCTGACCATATTATGTAATTTTATTATTGTGCATTGAAAATAGGAGAGTCTTGGGATATGTTTTTGGGACCAAGCCAGAAATGTTCGGCGGACAAACCCGATTTTGATGCCGGTGTCCGCAGGACAATCACATTTTTTTTCTTATTATCGCAGCACTGACAGGATACAACTCGCTTCTTGCTGATCTTCTCAGATTTGTGATTCACACCAAAGCGAAGCCATTACAAAGCTTAACCAAGGAACTGTCATTGTTGTTTGATCAGTAATCAGGTGCTAGCTAAGGACAGCGAATCTCTTTGTATTCGTAGCGTGCGATAAGCCATGACGACGCACAGGGATGGGAAGAACCTTCAATGATACCTTGCTGGAATGTACTGTTTTCTACAGTCTGTTAAGTGTAAAACACCCTCTCGCTTTACCAAACGTTCACACGCTACACGCCGCACAGGGAACTGCATACGAACCATTACCACCAGAAGCGCTGAGTTGCGCAGGTGAGAAGAGAAATACTCCTTTTGATCTTTTAGACGGGAGACCAAGAGAGAGAACGAGGATCGAAGGAGAGAGAGCAATGAGAGATGACGGAGGGCCGATGAGCAAATTGAGAGAGAGAGGAGCGGCACGAGAGCAAATTGACGAGAGAGAAAGAGAGATCGAGGGAAGCAGACAGGCAAATGGAGAGGCAGAGTAGAGGGCGATGAAGCCAAAATTAATGAGAGGAAAGAGAGAAAAGAGGACAATCGAAAGAATACAAGGAAGGGAAGAGAGAGGCGCGACAAGAGATTCGAGGAGATGGTAGCGGAGGAGAGCGACATGAGAGGTGGGAGAGCCGAGTGAAGATAAATAGATAGGACAGAGAGACTGAGAGGCTATAGCCGACAGATACACGCAACGAACCGCCGCGCACACGCAGAAATACGAATCATACATAGAATAATATTAACCGACTCGTCATATAATATAGATATTAGTATGTATAGGCTTGCTGTAAACTCTTCGCACATGCGACGACGCACAACACACAACCTATATAAGATGGGTAATGCACGCCTCGGCACGCGCAATGTGAGCAAAGAAATAAATGTAGATTTGTGTCTTGCGTGTGCTTAGTGCTTTTTGATTGAACTAATATATATATCAATATTATATATACACCAATTAAAATGACAAAAATATTATATGTAGCTAAAAAAGTATTGTAATATGTTTGTATGTATGTAATAAAGATTAGTAACACACACCATATATATATTATACTATAAATATATATAATAAGTCTGGATGCTTGAGGTCTACACTGCGGATAGAGTGTCAATGCATTAGGTTGCAGAGCGATTAATGTGATATTGTAGGTCATGCTAGTGGTAGATAATTAAATGACAAGATATCACTTTACGCTGTTACTCTAAGTTTCACACTTGCGCGCGATCCATCAGACAACATTTAATTGAAATTAAAATAAACCTTGTATGCCATATCCATAACCTAGAATAATAAAACATAAACTAGAGCGCTATTGTTTAGTCTTATCTGAGTTAGTTATGTAGTTCTTCATAGGCTCTAAGTAACTATACTGCGGCGTCACGGATTGCCTGCAGGAAACCGCTAATGCTGGCCATAGTTACCAAAGTCAGTATCTATAATTAAACGGGTTGGGTCTGCCTGCGTATATTTGTTGTTCGACTTTTAACTCAAAAAGCACACGGTAGCGCCGATTCATTGTTTATATAGGTTTGAGACAAGGATTCAAAAGTACTGTCTGCATGACGCGCAACGCAGTGAAACTGTGAGTAACAGGCTATAACAAGTGATGTGCTTGTCTTTAATTTATTACAGACTACAATATAATTATATAATATATATATATATATAGATTATATATGTTACATAATCTAAGATTATAGGTATAAGGCCCTGCCCAACAGAAATGTTGTAGTTACGCATGGATGCTTGTGCTGTAACAATTTATAACATGCCACGGCACCCGTAAACTATTATTAAAATAAGAACTCCTTCTGTTGAGAGGGCCTATCTGAAACACACAAGGATGCCAACACTTTTCTGAGAAACTGGGTCGAGGTTTCAGGATATGTGCTGAGTCTGGTAGTCCGAGGGTCACGCCAAGTGACCCGAGTATGCTAGGGGGCGTTCGGGGCATGGCCTCTGGGGAAAAATTTTTGATTGCCGAGCATGCAATTCCTGCCATTCTGGGACCAAAATGACGAATATGAGTTCAAACTGATAGTTATCGCGGCCCCTGCTAAAATACACCGGAGTATTTTCAATCATTTATGACAATTAACACTAAACGAAAACACGTGAATATCATAAAAAAGATCGACGTAATAAAAATCGTCAGTTGTATGCCAAACTGGTCGTTAGTTTGGTGTCAGCAAATTGGCAAACGAAATTCGCATAAAATACAGCATGAAATCGTAGATGAGTTTGTGCCTCGAATTCTATAGCATTCAGCAAATCATTTTACGCCAACATATGTGTTTAATACGCAAATATATATGTACGTAACAGGCTAGTAGTAATGCCCTGCAACACAAATGTGAAGCCGCACTCATGGCCACTGGCACCCGTAACTATTCAAATTTAAAATGAGCCACTGCCTTGGTGTAACCTTGTTGATCATGCAAATCATTACTGGCAAACGGTTGCGTCCCCAACGTATGCCAGTCCAACCATTTTTCCATACCGAGTCTCACATGCTAACGATTCGCCAACGTTCGCCCAACGTCATGCAGCCAAAACCACGCCAACCATGACGCCTCCAACCATACCCAACGTGGCCCCTCAACGGTTGCAAGGCAGCTCAACCATTTGTTCCACCCCGTGATCCATTGTACAACCTATTGTCGCCAACGAAGGTCCATAAGCATACACGGAGCCATTCGATGCCAGCCAACCATTTGCCAAACCGTGACCATGCCGAACCATACGGCCAACGTTGCGCCCAACGGTCATGCAGGTCCAACCATTTGCCCAGACGGGTGACCATGGCCGACCATATGCAACGTTGCGGGCCCAACGTCATGCGCAGCAAACCACTTGGCACCCGTGACCATTGCCAACCATCACACCAACGTTGGCCCCAACGTCATACAGCACAAACCACTGCCAAACTAGCATCATGCCAACCACTAGCCAACGTTGGCCTAACGTCATGCAGCAACGCATGTTGCAATACTACCATCATGGCCAACATACGCCAACGTTGGGTCCAATCGAGTAGCCAACCACTGGCCAACTAGCATTGTGTGCCCAACCATACGCCAACGTTGCCACAACGTCATGCCAGCCAACAATAACCATTTCCAACTAGCATCATGCCAACCATACGCCAACGTTGGCCCAACGACATGCAGCCAACCACTTGCCAACCGTGACCATGCCAACCATACGCCAACGTTGGCCCAACGTCATGCAGCCAACCACTTGCCAACCGTGACCATGCCAACCATACGCCAACGTTGGCCCAACGTCATATTGCCAACCACATGCCAACCATGACCGTGCCAACGTTGGCCCAACGTTGGCCCAACGTCATATTGCCAACCGTGACCGTGCCAACCAAATGCCAACGTTGGCCCAACGTCATATTGCCAACCGTGACCGTGCCAACCAAATGCCAACGTTGGCCCAACGTAAGCATGCTATCTTGTCGTTGTGCGGTTCAATGCAAGATTGGCAGTTTTGTGTGTAGGGAAGTTTGCGTGATTTTTATGTCGTGATGTTTTAATAAAATAAACGTGATTAAAGAGGAGAATACTGCATGACAAGTGTTTTGTAATGTAGGTGAGATGTTAATAAAGCGACGGCTTTAGGTATTTCTTTGATTTTCTATGTAACACGGCCGTAAATAGTGAAAAGGTTGTCGTGCATTTTGCACGACAGAATTCACAGGTTTTGTCTAATGAAGGCCCTAAAATAACATCAGAATATACACATTTTTAGGGCACAATTTATTGGTCTAGTCTAGACTCACTGACTCCGTGTCACTGTCAGTGACGCTGATGGGGTATATGTCCCCCCGGGTACTGCCGGAACATACCCTGGCACTAAATATTACTATCTAATATGCCGGACCGTACCACGCCTACTCCACTAACGAGTCTAGGGAGTCGCCTACGCCTACTCCCTAACCCTAACCCCAACCCTAACCATATCCCTAACCATATCAGCTAGATAGTTACCAGGGTACGTTCCGGCAGTACCCTGGGGGACATAGACCCTATGAGCGTCAGTGACTGTGACACTGACACTGTCACTGGCAGTCTGCAGTCTGCAGACAGTGCAGTGATGCTGATAGGGTCTATGTCCCCCAGGGCCAGGGTATACTGCCGGAACGTACCCTGGGTACGGTCCGGTATACCGGAACGTACCCTGGTAACTATCTGATTAGTCCGAGCCAACGCAGACCCCAGTAATGGGGTCTGCGGCCTATTAGATAGTTACCAGGGTACGTTCCGATATACCGGACCGTACCCAGGGTACGTTCCGGCAGTACCCTGGGTGACATAGACCCTATCAGCTGCAGTGACACTGACAGTGACACTCACTGGCACTTGCCAGTGGTAGTACTCAGTAAGTTACTAATAGCCTGCTAATAGTAATAATAAGTAAGCTGTCAAGCACTGAAAACGGTCCAAATCCAGGTACTGAGGTAGTGATTAGTCAGCCACGTGTGTATGAATTTTCAAGTCTCAGTATGATATAGTTTATTAGTTAGAAGTATGGCCACCTTGCAGACTAAATAATACAGACATACAGATACTGAGATAGACCACACACGGATTATTTTTCGCCTTCGTATTTACGTACCTATTTGTCCTTACCACAAATGTCGTGCGTGGGCTTGCATGTCCTTTACCGTTCTCTATTTCTTTGCGGTCATTAGTAAAAAGAGTCCACATGACGCTGAGTGAGGAGGGTGGCTCGTTCACCCTTGTCGACTTTCAAGTCCCGCAACGAGAACATGCCATCGTACATTTGGCAGCAGATGCTGCCATGTGCTCTGCGTGCCGGAGTAAAGAGATACCACTGTTCAAGTCAAATTGCAGTGCATGTCGTGAGATTCTTCTCAGCCCGAAGACAACAATATCTCAGCTCTTTGCTATTGCCAGGCATTGGATGACAGATGTGCAGAGCAACATCGATCTAATCATTGATGAAGTACTGTGTACATTTTTAGCTCACCTTGACATCGTCTTCGCTATTGCCATGGGTCGTCGTACGTCCGTCCGTCCGTCCGTCCGTCCGTCCGTCCTTCCGTCAACATTTGGCTACGGTCAACGATAACTCAGGAACCGTTTGACCCACATGTTTGAACATATGATGAACATATCTATCCTCTATCATACTGATATATCTGTGTGATTGTATATGTGTACATGCTATAGACAATTAATAAGCACAAATTATTTATTTGTGTAAGTTAGTTTCTAATGCATACTAATTATAAATCACTAATTTACAGATATTAAAACGAGGAGCACATGTGGATGATAGAGATGGACAAACAGACATGACACTCTTGCATTATGCTAGTAAAGCTGGAAGTGTTGGTTAGTAGAAGTTTATCAATTTAAAGTGAGGATTTCACATTTTTATCAACCGTTTTCATGTTTTCTCAATAGTTCTTATACTTGCTGCTACTCCTTGCATAACACCAAATGTGTATTGTAAGCAGGGTCTCCAACCATTCCGCATTCTGCGGAATCATTACGATTTCTAGGCTTAATTTCTGCACTCCGCAGCGGCAAGGTTATATTCCTCATTTCAGTTGCACTGTATAAAATTTGCACTGATTGTGTTCGCTTGGACACATTTTTTTTTTCAGCCGTTGCCTGGCACTAGCCACGCGCTAGTGCAGTAGAGATGCAGCAAGTTTATTAATAGCCGTCACTGCGCGAGTCGTTTCTTGGAAATGCACGCTCTGCCATTACCTTAGTTTTGCACCCCCCCTACCATCGCTCAGTGTTATAATGTGTTTCTATGCATTTTGTATCTGGCATGTCTACGGTAAATGAACACGCCATAGCAAACAGGCGCTGTTCTGCAAGCGGTTGCGTAGTTTGTCTGCTAAACAGAATTAAACACGTGGGGAGAATGGCGTCCAATTGCCATTCGCCATCCAAAAAACCGCGACTTTTACAGAAATTCAGAACGAATATACACAGATTGCCTGACTTGTGAAGTCAAAACTCAGTGTTAATCATGGCTATTGGCTGCTATGCAAGACAACCTTTCAAGTGGGGCACGGAGGAAGGATGACTGCCAGAGGCATATAGTCTCTCACAGCATAATTCTATGCGGGTGCAGTGGAATCTACACCCAATATATCAAGCTTCTTGCAGCAGATAGCAGAATTGTCTGTCTTGACGCAGAAGCGAGATTTAGGATTATTTAATTGAACACAATGTGTGTTTGAGGCGGCAACCATGCAAATGAACTCTTCAAGGAATGTTTCCAGACTCACAAATATGCAAAAAGTAGGTTGCAAACATACAAAACACGTGAAATGGTTAGAAATTGCAATTCTTACCTGTGTTTTAATACAATTATATACTAGAGTAACCTAACTGTGTACCCTCTCTAAAAGTAATGAAAATGTTTTGAATCAATTGTAACTTGTAGGGTTGAGTCTAGGGTTGAGATAGTGTCATCAGACATGAAAATATGGCCCACAGTATGCCTCAATTGCAGGAAAATGGCTTAAAATATTATCAAAAATTTTCTGGGGATCACCCCCAGACCCCCCTAGCACTGGCATGCCTACGGCACGCGGGCCTGCCTGCGGCAGCCAAGGTTAATTTCGCCCCCCCCCCTGTCCATCAATTTTATTCCGCATCTGGAGTTCACAGGGTTGGAGACCTTTTGTAAGGCTAACATGTCATAGAACACTCGCACAACATTCTCTCCCATAAGTGCACCGATCTGCATTTCAAATGAGATTGTTTAGGCTTATCACATGAGTATGCATGTTCGGTAGGTGTTGGTGATGTGGATAAGGCAGCAGCGGTCGTCTCGATGCTCTTGGATAAGGGTGCAGACGTCAGTCTACGATCGCGATGGACAAACATGTCCGCTCTTCACTACGCAACGTTCTTTGATGTGGGTCCAGTCGTCAAGCTCCTTCTCACGGCTTCACACTGTAAAGGTAACTGCGTGATATCTATCTATATCATGGGCGAGAATGTGGGCGTAATAATCGGAGGGATGGTAGGAAGTCTCTCTCTTAGTTCCTTCTCTCCTGGTGGAGAATAGGGCTGGAGTAGGAAGTCTACAAATATATTTTTACGAATTTTTTGCAGCTGCAACAAAATGCATTCCAGTGAATTAATGGGTGGAAGTTTATTAAGTTTGTTGATAAGCAGTTAACTTTTTTTAGAACGTGTCATAGTTGGTTCGCTCGTATTCACACATCAGTTAAATTGTCCTGCACATTGTATTGTCTCAGCATCCCACTCCTTGCCTAAAACAATTGTTGCTTGTCCTCTACATGAATTTTGCCTTGTTTCAGATATAAACTCGGTCTGTCATGAGTTTGACAATGGCACATCACTGCACATTGCTGCTCATAATCTGAGCCTTGAAGCAGCAACTGCACTTGTTGAGAATGGTGCCAGTGGCGCGATAAGAGACAACCGGGGCCGGCTACCTATAGGTGAGAGCACACACGTATGGAACAGGCACAGCAATTAACTGACTGTGCTGACATTACACATGGTTGAGCCTATTAATGTGAATTGGTTAGAGGTGTATCTGTATATTAAAATATATATCTGGTCAACAGAGTGTATACCCAACCCAGAGGATGATGTCACGAGACCAGATCTGACTATGCAGTGTCATCAGATGAGGGAGATACTAAATGAAGCTGTTTCCACGGTAACAGTGATGGTTCAGCAGTCAAATTTCTTTGAGAGCTTCGGCTTTCGTATTGGTGACAAGGTCATCGTTAATGGCCTGAAGGTACGTATCCTTAATTATCAGTTATACAAGTGTATTTTTAGCTCATCTGACATAGTCAGATGCAGCTTGTAGAATCGCTTGATCGTCCGTCCGTCCGTCCGGTCGTCCGGTCGTCCGTCCGTCCGTCAACAGTTGGGCACAAATCTTAACCGCTTGACGTACGGTCACGATATTCGGCACATTGGGGGGGATCGTCAAAACGAGTTGGGCTGTCGAAGCTGGGGGTCAAAGGTCAAAGGTCAAGAGGTGTAAAAGAAGGGGGAACATTCACTCCTTAACTTAAGGTATAGGGAGGAAATGCAGAATTGCGGCACAAATCTAAACGGCTCGACCTAGGCTCGTGATAGTCGGTGTATAGCATCATGGTAGGAAAAGCCATCACTGTGCCGAAATTGGAGGTCACAGGTCAAAGGTCAATGGGCACAGGGCAGATTTTAGACATTTTATGAGGACATGGTCTGACGGAGCGATTGAAAAACTTTTTTGTTTCAGCGGTGACCTAGCATTTTTATGGCATTATTGAAAGGACCATGAAATCTACTTTCTGCTGACATGCGAAGAGTAAGTGTCGGATAACCTTTTGACCCTCAAGAGGAGGGTTAAACATGGATTTGTTGACTGCCTGTTAGAAAGAATTTGACTGCCGGGTTTGCTAGTAGAATCTATACATGCCTGGATGTATGAGGCTACAATGTCACAGTGAAATTTCAAAAGCTAGATTTGGTTAAAGAAGGTTTATGCTCCTTAAATCGTATAATTTATATGGCATTCTGTAGTGTCAGTATGTTACATGTAACGTATGCCACTGCCAGTGGCTACTGCCAGTGCATGTGTTGTGGTACTGTGGAGTTTTTGCCTTAATTGGTTACAGGTGGCAGCTCTCTATTGCGCAGCCTGTAGGCTTGTGTAGGTAAATGGATGAGTGCTTACCTATTCTGTCTTGCAGATAGTTGTTGCTACTACGTATGATGGGAGCTTCCATCTTTAATCTGAAGACACTTAAACGTACGCGCCATCTCGTGGCAACTTTCATAACGATCCCAACGAACATTCTTTTGAGAAGGTTCCTGATACCATCCCTGTGCATTCCACTGTTTCGGCGTGTATGTGAACACATTTGGGACTAACAGGGTTTACTAGAATCCCACCACTCCACCACAGAGTCACCGCAGTAGACGTTAGATGAGCGCTGTCGCTCTGCGGCACTTGTTGTTGCTATTTGCAATGTGTGTTTTTTTACTGTCAATGACATCAGTGACATTTTGAATAATTTCATGCAAAGCGATAGAGTCTAACCTGTATAAAAGTGGCAGAATTACATTTGTAGGTTTATAATTCCTGATGGTGTAGACCACCATTAGAAATTATAAGATTTAGAGGATATATAAGCAGAATTTTCAGTGGAGTCATTCAGAAATTTGCCACTAATAGGCTGGAACACTACGGTTTATTGGCGAGACCAAGTTTGCTAAAGGCGTCTGGGCAGGAATTGAATTGACAGAGAATGCAGGAAAGAACAATGGCACTGTACAGTGTGTGGAGTATTTTGTTTGCCAGCAAGGTTATGGTTAGTTATGTCACAACTTACTCACTGTTGCATACCTTTATACTATCATAACATGACTGCATCATTATTAATTAATCTCAGATTAGCTCAAATTTTATCGTGAAAGTCGCAATAATAATTCTTATCAAAAGCAAGATACTTTGCTAGTTCATTTATCCATGAGATGAGAAACAATGGCACCTATATAATCCGCGAGTAATGGCATGATATAGCCGTCAATCAGTGTCAATATCAGAAAACATTCATGTGACCACACTTGAAGGACAGCATACTTATAAATGCAAATGTGGTGTTACATAAATAACTTTCTCCAGCATCGTTAGTCTAGTATGCGAATGTGAGTTAACATGCAGGATTTTCAGTTCATTGCAGTTGTCTCGTTACTTCATAGGTATATTTGCACCTGTCGACAAGGTGTCTAAGGTTTCGGCTGTTGGATTGCATGACCTCCAACCCCTACACTGTTCCTCCCCACGCTTGTCACCAGTCAGGGAGGGTGTGTGTAGTCCGCAAACCCTGATCTCGCCAGCAAGATGGGACAATGATGGTAGACATCCACTCGTATTCTCTCAGTCACCAAGGTATGTTTCTGGGGGGTATATAGAGTATATATATATATATATATATATAATATATAGAGTGAAACAAGTGTGAAACGATGGCAGACACAGTGATGCGTCTGTGTGCATAATATTTGGCATTAATTCGGTTTGGGGTTATGGTTCTTACAGAGAGAGGCGTGGCAGTGGCTCATCATTACCCGGCAGTTCTCCCCAGCCAGCTCCATCCCAAAAGATAAGTGTTGGCAGCATCCCGGAGTTCCCAGTTGACAGGGATGAACATGTAACCATAGCAACGGGAGATAGAGTGATAGTGGCAGGCACGTGTTTGGGCACGGTCCGGTTTGCTGGCGAAACTCTGTTTGCTGCAGGTAATAATAGCCAGATCTTACTCGTGCAGTAATTTATATTATATTCTAATTCATATAATATAAAAATTACTAATTTACAAAAGCAATCCTGCTTTGTGAAAATTAGACCTTGTTCTTATACCATCTCCTCAATACATTTAGGACTGTATTAAATGAAGGTATAGTGAGGTTTCGCTGTACTGTTCTATATCATGCATTGCAGTTGAGGGTAGACAAATAGGCTGACGACATCTGGTCTGCATTCTTATAAGCGTAAAGCTGATCTTAAAATCATGTTGTTTTTCTTGGCTCGGTGCATGGGATCAGGTGTGAATAATGACAAATTTGTCATTAAAGTGATTACGTCACCGTAAATAATAGAAATAAAAAAAATTCTACTTTTTACCAAAATATAAGTGATTCTGTTCACTTTTTATGGTTAAATTGCTGCATTATACTTCTTATTTTACTATATTGTTCGATGTGAACATACACTCGTGACTCATACATAGCCCATAGCAAGCAATTAATGTTATGAACACTAATATCAAATCATCCAGGTTTTTTGGATTTTTAGCTAGTTGAGAAACAATCTTATCAGGTAAGAATTTGACGATACGTTTAGTCCCGTTAGTTCTTACTTTTAATGTAAAAAAATGGCAACAAAAATTTTACAAATTTTACCATAGAAAATTCGTGACATAGTCACTTTAATCGCCCACGATGGGATGTTATCGAGTCGTTTGTGTTGGCATCCATCTCTTTGTTATATTAGGATTCTGGTATGGAGTTGAGCTAGACAACCCCGTAGGGAAGAACAACGGAACAGTGCAGGGGATCGCATACTTCACTTGTAGGAACAATCATGGCATCTTTGCACCACCAACTCGTCTATGCAGGTACAGCTTCATATTCTCACTTCAAATCGATGAATGTATGCGTGTCGATGGTAAACTATTAGGTTTCAGAGCAATGTATGGAGATACAGCTAAGAAGTCTATGAAGGATATAGGTGTTAATAATTGAGGTAGATTATTCTTACAAAACTTTATTTTAGTTAGGTTTTACATGCTAAATAGAGCTATTTACTTTAGGTACCAAACTGACCTAACTCCTATCAGTCCATCGAAATTGTCCGATGACCATTTGAAAAATCGACTTGCGGTTGAGGAACCTGAGTTCAATAAGCAGGTGACGATGTCAACCAGTGAGAGAGTGCTCTCCAAGCAGCAGAAGACTTCCTCCAATCAAAAAGCTCTGTCCAGACAAGATTCCCCGAGGTTGCACTCGCATGTTAAAACTCTGTCCCGACCTTCCTCTGCTGAAAGCCAAGGTAAGAGTCATCTCAATAGTGCAGTAGTATTACTGCCAGTATAAATTTCAATTTAACTACATTCGACATTTTCGGTGGTACTCAGTCATGCTTGCAAAACTATGGAAATTTCGAAGTCATTCAGATTTCGGTAGGAACAACAGATCTTAACAGTGCTTGTACCAGGAATGTGGTCACCCTAACTCCATGAAGAAATTCGGTGTTGGTAACGTCAAATAGTTGTCAAATTGTTTAAGTGAACTGTTGATATAAAGTTAAAATTCAAGTTCACATTCATTGTACTGTGCTAATATTAGACAGGTACATTGGCAAAACAGTGCCAAGAGTACAAAATAAAGATTAAAACGGTATAAAAATATATCATTTATGAAACAAAGCTGTGGGTTAAAGGACAATTGAAGTCAAATTTTCTAACTTCTGTAACGTTTTTATACATAGAAATACATTCAATAACGTATTCCATTTCAAATCAGGCGCCCAATTAGTAATAAACACCTGAATAGTAATCTAGGTCATGTGACGTCACGGCCCCAAGTTGAGCGACGCCATTATGTAAACATAGTGCGTGCGGTGGTTAAATATTCGTTTTTTAGCTCACCTTGACATCGTCAAGTTGAGCTATATTGCCATGGGTCGTCTTCCGTCGTACGTCCGTCCGTCCGTCAACATTTGGTTTCGGTCAACGATAACCCAGGAACCGTTTGACCCACATGTTTGAAATTGGGTGTAGTTGTTACTGCTATGCTCCCATATGGAACGTCCTATTTTGAAGCACGCCAGTCGACGTACTTTCGAGCCACGGCAATTTTTTGGCAAAAATGGGAATTGCCATTAGTCAGTTCAGGTTCAACGGATTTTGCTCATTTTTGGTATGTGAATGAATAAGGACTAGGGGTTTTGATATTTAAAAAAAATTATGCAAATTAGGTAGGGTTTGGCAATTATATAGCATAATATATAAACACAAACAGTCTGTGGTGTCACCAGACCTGCCAACTGTTACGTATTGCCCGTAATTTGTTACGGACGCGAGTCAAAATTACGGTGTTACGAACGACCTCGAAAAATTACGGACAGCAAGAAATCTCTGAAATTTATATTTTTTAATGCAAAAAAAAGAAATAAACACAGTGTAAAATCAACTATTATCATGTAACATGACTACTGTGTCTGTAGATTTAGACTAATAGCTCTTAAAACGTAACGGTACTCACTGAAAATGGTAAATTATGCTGTGTTATGCGCTCGTCTGTCTGGTTTATGGGCGCAGCCATTTTGAATGACGTCACGGATCCAGGAATAGTAGTACCGCACTGAAGGCTATTTTCAGCCAATCACCGTGAGAGATAAATTAGGTGCTGCGCAGTGCGCGCGCACGCTTGTGTGTATGTGTGGAACTGCCAAATGACATCTTTATGCTAATTATGTTATTATTATACTGTAATAAGACTGACAAAAAGGTGTTACTGACAAATGCCTATTTGTTACGGAAAAATCCAATAATTACTACTGATGATCATCAGATGGGGTTGGCAGGTCTGTGTCACACTCGTCTGGTTCGTTTTACAAGATTTCATTGACAATATCTTTAATGCAAAATTGGTATTTCCTCTCCACTCTGCCGATAAAACGTCTATATTAGAGTAAAGATTTACAAAACATGTCGGAACGCAGCATAACCTATTTATTTCAAGCGCCATCGCTACAAAGCAGGTATAGCGCCATCTACGGTCACAAATTGTGATTCATTTTGGTTTATAAAATATTATTGCGATATACAGATGGCAATCGTTTCTATAATGTACGTCGATGGTTGCTCAATTAGAACTGACTTCTTCTTACTCACTCATTTGTGTCCTTTTTTGTGGTGAGCTACAGTGTCATTGACACTTTCATTTTGTTATTTCTCATGCTTATTTATTATGTCAAGACACAAACATGTAGCCTGTAAATGTACTTATATTCATGTACATACATATTACCTGTGAGGATAATGCATTCACGGTATATGTACATGACTTGCATAGATACATGTGATTCTGACCGAGCGTGATAAGCCCGGTGATCAGTGTACTCGCATGACTGACCTGGTCTAGCGTCGAACTGGTCTACAATAACCCTGGTCTTCTCACTCTCATGGCAGCATATACATTCAGGTGCCGTACTCATTAATTCACAAACACCACAAGAACACCAGTATTTGTCTACAGTCTTATCGGGTACCGAAGCTTCCATTCCGCCATGTTGTGACTGTTCTGATTCTTGAGAAGTTTGTGCCGACTCTTCGCGTTGCTTTTTCAGACGATTCTCCTCAATTTCTTCTTGTGTATATTCAGGCTCAAACCTATATCCAACTGGTAAATCACTATGAATATCATCATCATCTGAGTAATCACTAGAATCATTGAAATTATCTCTTTCTGTTTCCATCTTATACACAACACTCAACTTGCGTTAGCGTGGCGTCGCTCAACTTGGGGCCGTGACGTCACATGACCTAGATTACTATCCATGCGTTTATTACTAATTGGGTGCCGGATTTGAAATGGAATACGTTATTAAATGTATTTCTATGTATAAAAACGTTACAGAAGTTAGAAAATTTGACTTCAATTGTCCTTTAAGTAGTTTCCTATTGGTGCATGCTGCATGTGTTTGACTGCGTACGCTATGTTATCAAGAGTGTGATAATAGAGACTCCTGATGTTGTCTGTATGCAGGAAGGGCGAGTGGCAGACCTTTGTCGGCTGGTAGCAGAGCGTCGTCCACGTCCGTCGGTAGCGCGAAGAGTGCGTCACATACGTATGGCTTCACCATCGAGGAAGGCACGCAGGTGTTTGTCAACGGCGAATTCGGTGAGTCGCATCACTGCCACCGCCATTCTCCCAGAATTCTCAGGAGTGCTGGTCTTCGTAGTGTCTAACCAGTTTCTAAGACGATCTGCTGCCATCACATATAATTAAACAGGTCAACATTTGAAGTTATCCAAAGGATTGTTGGTTTGCAGTCTTATATTAATGGGAATGTTAGTGTGAAAATTGTTCAGTAGGTGGCGTGAGTTCCAGTGTTCGACAGAAGATCACTTCCAAACAAGTTTCTGATGGTCGGTCGAATATTCACAGCGCATAAAAAACACCCCGATTTTAATTAAGGCTATTAATCACAACGAGGGAGATAAATTAAATTTTCCGCACTTGGGTAAAGTTCCAAATTCAAGATAAATCATGTAAATCTACAATAAGCTTGCCTGTTTGGCTCCTGCGCAGGTACCGTGCGCTACATTGGACCTGTGAGCTTCGCTGAACACACCTGGCTTGGAATCGAGTTGAAGTCGGCACGTGGTAAGAATGACGGCAGTGTGCATGGAGAGCGATTCTTCAGCTGTGGTGCAAGACACGGACTACTAGTCAGACCCAGTAGGGTGACGGTGCGCGGCATCAATGGTGCAAAGTTACTACAGTGAACAAGTAACGGGTGTGCGTGACAAGGAAATGAACAGAATCAAGTTCATGATTACTGAATGAGTGTGACACAGTGTATTGTAAGTACATGACTAGAAACAGTTCAGGGTGGTGACTGAATGGAGGGAGCCATGTTTATGGTAGATGAAAGCCTGGTGTGTTACACTTGTATGACCTACCGTCCACAGATTGCAACCTCGTTTTGAGTCTTTGACCATCGTCCATAATAGTGTCAGCTTAAGATAGGTTGGTATTCCATGTTGTGAGTTACAAGTTGTACAGTTCAACATGTGCTGTTATAAGTTTCACATTTTGAACAAATGGCGAATGATTTCCTCATATTTCGCTAGTGTGCAACCACTTTTCAACAAGTCTCTGGACTTCTAATGTGACTTTTTTCCCTATTTATGTCATTTGATGGCTAAGTTAATGATCATGAAACAGAATCTCTGTGAAATGTAAGATATATGAATGCACAAAACGTATTTTATTCTGACATATTTTACATATGTGGTGTGGCCAGTGGCTGTTAAGAAGTGGAGCATACTTGCAAATTGTGGCAGTTTTTGATGCAGCAGTATATTCTTCTAAAAATTTCTCAGTTGATCTGCTGTCTGGGCCTATAGATAACAGTATTAACAGCTCAGTGTGTAGTGCAAACAACAAACTAAAACTACGAATCCATTTACCAAAGTACACAGCTATTGATTCTACTTGAATGTATTTATTTGCATTGCTTTATCTCGGTCTTTGCTGTTATTGAAATTTTTTGATGTTAGTACATGGTTCAAGTTATAGTGATGTGGCCATAATTCCTTAACGTCTTTCCACTGCCCTTATTTTGCGTATTTCATGCTGTTTACTGTACGTATTCTTTATTTTGTGATTATGGCGTATAGTGGTGTTTCACGGGCATGTATATTTTTCAATCATTATGCAATACTAAGCATGATGTAAAACGTGCACATATATGTATACTGTGTAATAAGAGTAATTCAATAATACATAATACTTCTTATGGAAGTATGTTATTGGGGGAATTAGTACAGTAGTTGAGCAAATGAGCGTTTGCTATATATGTACTTCTGCAGCTCTGCACATCTGATTTAGACATTGTATGCAGTTGAATGCTTGACGAATGTTTTCCTTCAATGAATGTTTTCAATCGTCAGATATGAGGGTTGCATGACAGGTGCCGCACTGACGAGTCTGCAATAAGGGTATACTGTCTGGTTTTCACATATGACTATCTTGCGTAATTACACATTGCATGCATCTGTGCACATGGAGTTTTACGGAGAATTTGGTTGTAGCGAATACGAAATGATTACATAGTTTGAAGTGCCTTTATTTGAGTAACATTTGCGCACATTTTTGGATTTTCACGAAGACACAAAAATGGATAAGAAGGGATAATCTCTACAAGGATTTGATATTTCTAGTCTTCACTATATGCTGCTCGGTTTTATCGTATTTGCTATTCGGTTAGAATGCATCACTATCTGCGTTAATTTAAACGTTTGCATGTGCGTACCTATTTGCATTGATAACTTGCAATGTATCTAGTCCGTGTATGGTATTTATAACTAGTCACATCGTGCCTACTCATCTATTTATTGCATATATATTATTTTTATTACGGGCACGTGTGTTGCATGCTATTGTTATCGCGTGGCTCTAAATAATGTGATGTAACACGAGTGTGATGTCACATAATCTTAGTCTTGTTCTAGCATCAGAAGTTTATTTGGTAAAGTTCTGATTAGATGACTTCCTGTTAATATTGTAGGAATTCAACGTTGCACGTTTGTCTGCGACAGATATAAACCACATCTATTTTTATTTATTTACTTAATCCACTTGAAAAAGGTTGGGCTGTGGTCCGTGGATGTACCTTTGCTGTACCACTCTGAATTTAATAAAGGTTAAGCCTAATTAATAATTAATGTTTTCATCATCGCAATTAACTGAATTTGATAGCTTCACCTACTTAGGCTCAACCATCAGCACAGAAAATCCTACAAGCAAGGACATCAGATCAAGACTTGGTAAGGCCACCTTTTGTTTATTTTGTTGGTTTACAGAATTTTTTTTGGTTGTTGACTCGGTAGGGTAAAAAAAAAATTATCGTTTTGCCACATCAAACAAGTCAAAATACAGTGATACTGTTATACATGATATTAAAGTATTTTAAGAAAACTAAATGAAAACAAAACTAAACTTGTAATTATTTTTACTTTTATTATAAACTGTTTGTGCAAGTTTACATTTTTTTTATTCATATTTCTTAGAGAAAAGGTCGGCGGTAATCAAAAAATACAGGTTTTCAATTTTTATTTTTTTTCGTTTTTCTTAAAAATTCGGGTCGGCGGATCTGTAAACCAGCAAAATAAAAAATTCTCGCCTAAGGCTCGCACAGCATTCTGTCGTCTTAGAAACATCTGGAAGTCAAGTCATTACACTCTGAGGACAAAGGTTAGACTGCAACAGTAATGTGAAGTATGGACGTGAGTGCTGGAGGGTAACCAAGGAGGATATGAATGCTCTTTCGTCCTTCCACCATGGCAGCCTCAGGCGCATATGTAGGATCTTCTGGCAAAAAACGATCACAAACCAAGAACTACTGAAGAAGACGAGTTCATCCTGCACTGTTGAGGAGATCAAACAACGCAGACTCAGATGGCTTGGGCATGTGTTCAGAATGCCGGACAGCACCATCTCAAAAAACGCACTACGCTGGACACCCCGAGGAAAACGAAAAAGAGGACGGCCAAAGACCACCTGGCACTGGATTGTCGAGGCAGAGCTGAAGGAAATGGGGCTGACCTGGGGCACAGCAGAGATGCTGGCTAAAGACCGTACAGCATGGCAAAGTTCTGTTGTGGCCTTATGCTCCACTGGGAGTGAAGAGAATAAGTAAGTAAGTGATTAACTGAATATGGATATATTGTAACAAGGCAAAATTGTTCCTGTAAAGTTTTCATCCTAGAAATCAAGCTTTACCGATGTCGGGTGACTGTCGTGTAACACACGTGTGTTCATCACTAGGTGTGGTGAATACAGAAGAAGAAACAACGTCCATTAAGATAAACTCTGGTCTACATTTATTCATAACATTAACGAACAATAGTAATAAAATTCGTACTTCCCAGCTTTAAGCCTAACATAATATTTCTATTCGATTACATCTCCAGCTCAGGGAGTTCAAACAAATAAGTGTGTGCCTCGGACAATACTTCCTCGCAGGGTAAACGACTGAGCACGGCATTCGACGGAAGTAACCACCATTAGGTTCACACAGCTCTAATCCTTCGCTTTCCACTTTACAATTAGGAAAAATACCACAGCGTAAATATTTCGAAACCAACTGTTATGAGCGTCTCTTAAAGAAGCCAGTGTTGTACTTAACGAGTCTTCTGATACATAATTAATTACTCATCCTGCTATCTGCAGATATCCGTACGCCATACGATTCTGTTGGCTGTATGTGTGGCGAAACCGGAAAGTAAAGTTTAACAACGAGAACTAAATCATTCAAACAAACGTGATGTAAGTGTGTGAACATCACAGTCAACCATGCCGAACATCCAAACCAGTGTTAATACTATAAGTTCTGCATTTTGCACACCATATATGTGTATGTATCTCTACATATGTATATATATATATATATATATATATACATGTGTGTGCGCGCGCGCGTTCGTGCGTGCGTGTGTGTGTATATATGTATGTATATGTATATATATATGTATATCAGGAGTTAATGAAGACAAACAATTTGTCTTCATTAACTCCTGATATACATGTATATATAAACATATATATATATATATACAGTTACCTGACAACAATAATAAACAACAACAGTTCAACGATCAACAGATGGATAAAACACTACTAACCCTCCGATCAACCATATCATCTGCATCATCCAGTTCAATCACAACAAACCTATTTACATAGTCAAAATTCATACACGGGCCATTTCCCGTCCGCAAGAAAACAGGTGGCCGAGTAAAGACACATGAAACATTTCTTAACCGTGACAATATAGAAAAATTACTGCTTCTCATTCTGAATGTGTGTCGAGATCTGGCATATCAAGCGTAATCCACTATAGTGTTATGTCATATTAATAATAATAATATTAATAATAGCAACAAGTCTCTATATTCATTAAGGAAACAACAACAGCAACATGATTAACCTGTAATCAATTACGCACAACCACTTGAATAGGAAAATACTTGGGGTGCTATCATTGGTGCTATCCAGCAGGAGCAGCTACACTCTCGACTTCTTCACTAGTTACCCAATTACAAACTTAACACGAATTTTTGAGGTAACTGGACAAGTACACAGCTCAACGTAGTGACCGTGCATTGAGAGAGTGATGCTGCTGCATCTACCTGTGCGTGCATGTGTGCCGTGACGTCATCGTAATCTATTTTACTCTCTGACAGGCTTACCTTAAAGGTGACGTCGTAGCTCAGAGGGGGGGGGAATTTCAGGCTTACTTAGGGTTAGGATGTAACGAGAGTAACTAGCAAATCAGATGGACCAAGCTGCTAACAAGTAACTATTTAAGACTAGACTCAAGTTGTCATCTTATATTCGCGCCTCATCACATCGACTGCGTGCCTAAGCAGTTGAACTAACCACGGAATTTTATCAACCAATAGCATATTCACATAAGTTATAACATTTGATTACACAATATTCAGCTGTAGCTGCATACAGCACACGAAATGACACACCTAAAGAAAACATTAAGAGTTATATTTACAGCCTTCGTGATTGATTTCGTATAGTAATAGCACAAGACATGTGTCAAGAATGTGATGTTCATCCGGTTATGATAATACTTTCCTGGTTACAGCCTTCAATAGGAATACAACAGTAATTTTTAATGTGCGGAAAATCGCTTTCCGTTTCAAAGGGGATCTTTCAGATTAATTAAAATCACAAAAGTAAGTCTTTAGTACATCAGTGGTCATCAACTCTTGAGTCAAAGTGCTTTAGAAGTGTGTACGTCACACTAATGGTACTTACTAAAAGAAATTATGTCAATTATTTTTAAAACAACATAAAATCGCGGTAGATGCATGGTTTGTCTGGGACAAAACTTAAAATGGCCACCAAATTTTTATTTTTAATTATCCTAGCAAATTTCCTATTGCTATAGGCTTAGGCATATGGCAGAACTGTTATATGATTATAGTACATTTTATGCCAAAACCGCGGCAGGAAAATGTCAGTAGACGTGATTTTTCTTAGAAGTTGACCACAGTAGAGTTATGACGATGAGTAACACCGAAAACGTGATTATTTCATTATTCATAACATAGAATTAAGACACGTGACGTGTATGAAAAAAATTGGAAATTTCACATACCAGATAGTGGTGTTAAATAACACTGCGAATGGCTCCAATTTCCAGGAACTGTTATATTCTTCTAATAATCAACTTTTCTATTACCAAGAAGCATAACAAAGTAGGTTTACAAACGAAATCACTGCTGGAGTTGAAACGGTGAGCGAATATAACACGGCATCGCCAGGCCAGATGATTTTTTAAACGTAAAATCCGACAATTCGGATAATTGTTTTGTAAAAATAAACGCTTACCTTTTATCTCTTTGATTGTTATTAACTCGACATGGTTAAAACACTGGCAGCTACTGCATTATTTTTTTACATGATAGTAACACTATATCTACATTCATCTGAAAGCCCAGATAACATTTTACATTTCCATCACCACATATCCAGTTCCGCGTGTACGGGTGCTGTGTGTGTGTGCGCGTGAACCAGCCTCCCGGCCGTATGCCACCTCCTCTTGATTCACGTAGTGCTCGAGACATCAGCTTTTGAGAAATGGTCTATTTTCGTACCGGATTCATTTCCTGGAATCAGTCACAAATTCGCACGATGATGATGCCGAGTAGAATAAATACATAGATCAGTGTAATTATGTTCGTTCGCACCTATACGCTTACGTTTATGTGACATAACGATATCTCATGTACACACGAACACGCACACGTGGTTGTCACATGCGTCACATGAACGGACGCGTATGTACAAAAAGAATATGGCTTCTAAGTGTGGAGTTCAAAACGGTGATGGGAAATTATCAAGAGTACATGCACCCACACGAACAAACGCTCGGGACCTGACATATACCTAATGTAACTTGTAAGGAAACGTCTAGGTACGGAGGGCAAAGTAAATAGCAATGACTCATTTGCCTGCAATTCGCCACCATAGTTATACTGAAGACGCTATCTTGAGTAGGCACACAGCAGCTGTGTGACCGATGATAACGCCACAAAATGTACCATCTGCAAAGCACATGATCCTCGCTATGCCATTTACTGATGAACTTTACATTACCTTGACAAAAGGAATAGCCCATTGCGTGATAACCAAGATATCATATGGCTGCTACCGCGTGCGCCCTACAGTGCCAGACAACTATTGCTTGCTTACATTTGTCATATCCGTTGAATGTTGCAGCTAATATTAGAACCTTCTATTGTAAAGGATGTATAGGATGAGATTATCGTTTGGTATAGAGCACACACGTAGATTGTAGTTCAGAGAGCATCAATAGAATGTCGTTATTATAGTTGCTATATTATATAAGAACTAATAATGGCAACTTCTGCATAGTAACAGCCTCAGCTGCAAACGGCCCCACACTTGTTCACTATTTTGCGTAATTATCAGATATTTATCTGTACAGGAATATATATTATATTATCAGGAGTGAATAATAATAGATAATAATCTATCAATATTCACTCCTGATATTATGTAAATATAATTGCTTGGGTTGCTTTCACTTCCAAGATGGGATATCTTCATATGTTTCAGATTCTGTGATTCAGAGTTATAAAAGGAGAACATAATTATCTTAGTGTGAAAGACTGCTGCAATAAAAACTCTAATTGTGCAATACTAATTAAAGGGACAGTAGCCTCTAGGATTTTACTGCATACAACTGTACTTACTGTATAACAAATCGTCTATACCCACACGTATTTGTTACCAGATACCTAATTTAATTAATTGTTATAATTAATTACACATCAACGCTACGAAATTTGAACGGCGCCATGACACCCGCGACCGTGCTGCCACCCCAAAAAAGTTGCGTATTTGACAATTTATTTTGCATGTTACAGACCAAGGGCTAATCACAAAAGTGTAATTATATTTATACCTAAATGCTATTTAACCGAACGATATTCATTTTAGGGCAAATTTATCCATATTATAACTGAAACTATATGTCATTTATAAGATATTACAATTAATCCTTTTGCTTTTAAATTAATAAATAAGAAACACCCTCGGTCTGTAGCCCTTGGCTGGAAAGTGGTTTTGCGCAACTTATCAGATCGTGCGCTTTGAGTGGCGCCACCGTCGTTGTAATCAAACTGTAGTCGTTAGATTTAAAACTTTTTTTTTTAAATATTTCTAATGGTGATTGAACCATGAAACTTTTTATGTAGCGTAATTATAACCTAAATTAGCTGAAAATAACCCTAGAACCTAGAGTAAACTCTCCCTTTAAACCGAAATGTGTAGAATGCAAGGGTTAGCATAACAAAACAAAACGTAGTGTAACGTAACGTCCCATTTAACCATGCATATAACATGAGTGAGGCTACCATGACGTAGCGTGACATTCTTCTGTACCATAAATAAATACAGTAGTAGAGCAAGGAGTTTTTTAGGCTGGCATTGACCCTACAATGCGTATAGTTCAAATCTCATAAAGTACGATTTCAACAGTAGCGTAGTTTTTATAGTCGAATATAATTAGTTTCGCATGAAAGAGTAGCATAAGAAAGGGTGTGAAATCATGAATCAGAAATGCATCTGTGGATCAGGTGGTGAATGTAACTGTTTGTGTACGCGCCTACTTTATACACCGTTTCAATATAATTTATGTATACACAGGTCTACACAAATACTGTATGTACATGAGAATCTGGGGGGGGGGAAATAGACATGGAAGGTACTGAAACCATTGAAGCTGTGATAAGGCTCAAGGACAATTATCCTGGCATTCCATGGTACTGGGCTCTGCATACTGCACATCAATATTTAGGTGTAAAGACATATATAGAAAGAGTAATATAAGCCTCTAAAAACAGTCATATATGAGAATTTGAAGGCAGAGATGAACAACATCAAGACGCTGAAGCTGCGATAAGGACTATTATTATAAATATGCAGAATGACAGAATGGACACCAACAACAAAGGGAAAACAAAAGAGAAGAAAAAGAAAAGAAAAACAAAAAAATTTAATTGAAAGAAAAAAGCTAGAAAAGTAAAGATGTAAAGAAAATAAATATTGAATAATAAAGAAAAAATTTGAAAAAATCGGTGCGTGGTCTCATGCACACTCATTCATCCTACTCACCAACGCTGGCGGGCGGAGTAGCAGTAATACACGGCCAGGCTGCGGGCGACTCGGCGCTGTTCAAGCCGCGCATCAGGAACCTCTTCTTCGCACTCACCAGGGGCGCCACCCGCACGTCACACAGGCTGTCCAGCAGGTGTTCCTTCCGCGTGCGCGGCGGAGCGTGCGGCCGCTTGTCGTGCATCGCGGCAACCGCCACCACGTGCGCCTGCTCCGTCGAATGCCGCCCCGCCTCCGCCTCTCGATCCGCGCACCCCAGCGAGGCGAACGACGTCGTCGTGGCAACCGTCATCGTCGGCGCAGCCTCGCTGCTCAGTTCTGGGAGGCACGTGGATGGTAACAATGTGTGGCCGTCGTCGGCGGCGTGCTCGCTCGCGTAGCTGCCCTCACTGTCGCCCCGCCGCCGCCGCCGCCGCGCCCTGAACGAGTAGTCGAGCGGCTGGCCTTCCTCCGTGTCCGTGTCTGACTCGCTCGAGCTCTCGAGCTGCTGCGGCAGCGGCGCCGCGCCGCGCTCGTACTCCCCGTCGTCGTACGCCTCGCTCGGCAGCCTGCCCGCGCGCTCCAGCGTGCTCACGTGCAGCTTGGAGCGAAGGTGCTTCGCGAGGTGGCCATGGATGCGGAACGCGACGCCACAGTCGGCGCACTTGAACGGGCGCGGGTTGTCGGCGGTCGGCGCGCCGTACACAACGTTGCGCGACAGCTTGCTGAGGTGGCTCTCGGAGCGCTGGTGCTTCTGCAGGTGACCGCGTGTTCGGAACGAGACAGCGCAGCTGTCGCAGCGGAATGGCCGCTCAAAGTAGTGGATGTTGACGTGCAGTCGCAGTGAGCTCGGCTTAGAGAACACCTTGTGGCAGATGTCGCAGACGCAGCGTCCCTCGTTCTCCTCCTCGTGCACCTTGCCCGGGATCGGCATGATCTCGTTCTCCAGCAGCGACTTGTATTTGTCGGCGCGCTGTAACTCATCAGCGGCGTGCTGCTGACCTGTGTTCGCCACATCACCGCCGTCGCCCGCCACCGCATCCGAACACCCCGCGTCGTCGCGACGCCGGTCGCCAGGCAGCGGCTTCGGAGAGATTGCGTGAGGGGTCTGCTGCTGCTGCTGTGGGGAGAGGCTCGTGGGGTTGTCGCTGCTTCTCCCGCCCTTCGCCTGCTGGTAGTGTTTCCACCTGCGCGCAGCACCCCCGCCCCCGCTCCCCACGCTCCACAGTCGCTGCTCCTCACGCGGACTAGAGTCACCGTTGCCCTCGGCGGAGATGGAGAGCTCACACGGCTGCAAGTCGACGCTGTTCGGCCGGTGAGGGCTCCGTCGTTTTGACTCGAGAATGCCCTTGAGGCCGTAGTTGCCCGGGCCATCTTGCTCGGTGGACCCGCATGGTAGGTTGACCGAAATGCTGCGCTTGCGGGGTGGAAGGAATGAGTTCAGAGCGATCAAGCTGGCAGCGGTAAGGCCTGGAGGTGCAGATCTCAATTCGTGGCCGAACTCCTGCTGCGACGAGCCGGCAGGGGACAGCATCGGCCGGGGAAGCCCCTCACCCGATCTCTGGTAGTTAGTCATCGCCTCGCCGTCTTGCGACGAGCCCGGCGACGCATGCATCTGGTTCAACTGCCGTGACTTGATGACGCCTATCACAGAGTCGAGACGGTGAGTCTTGCTCACGCTACGCGGCTGTCCGTCGCCGGTCGGGCTCCCGTCGCACGGCGACTTATCCGCGACCCCGCAACCATTGTCGTCGGCCCTCGCCACGCCTGCGTTCACCAGCGACATGTGCTGGTGCAGCTTACTGAACACGATCTCGGACACGGACAGGTAAGAGCGAGACAGCTGTCCGCGAGCGTCGCTGCCGTGAAACGCCGCCAGTGTCGTCGTCGTCGGCACGGCGAGGTGCAGTTCCCCGCCGGGACTCTTGTAGTTGTTGTTGTAGAACTTGTGCTGCTGCAGCTGCGACAGCTCAGCAGCCGTGTTCTCCGACACCGACCGCTGCCGCTTGCCGTGTCTCTCCGCGTGCTCCCCCCGGACGTCGCGTCGCAACACGCGAGGCACCTTACCCGGTAATTGCTCGTGCTTGTCGTCGCTACCGCCGGCGACTCCGCCGTACTTTGATTTCGCGCTACCCGCTACGTGTCCGTGTAGAGTGTTGCCCGACGGCACTGCGTTCTGCTCTACCATCGCCTGATGTTCGTAATGAGCACGCGAGCGTGGGCTCGTGTAGCTGGGCTTAGACGGCAATCCCGTCGACACGGTCAACAGACCTGCGTTCATGTCTTGGAATTTATCACAGTATATTTTCTCCATGCCTTCGTGACTGAACTGCTTTGGGATGGCCGCACTTCCCTGCTGCTCCAACTCAGTGGAAGATGATGATAGCGGCTGGGCACTGCTAGTGGGAGGAGACGTGGCTGCAGTGCCAGGAAGCTTTTGCAGTTGGTAATCTCTATGCGGTTCCATCACATTAGCAAACTGCAAGGAGCCGGCGGATGCTGAAGACGGATGTTGTGCTTTGTGCAGAGGTATCGCACCGCTGCTGCCGCTCACTAGTACCTCATCCTCAAAATCATCACTCGCGTCGTCAGCATCGTCATTGTCATTGTCACTGTAGCCTGACATGTGCTCAGCCTCCTCCTCCTGCTTCGCCAGCGCGTCCTCATCTATCTGTGAATCGTCTACGGTAATCGGCACGGGGATGACGTTCAGTTCGATGCACTTCTTGTGATGCGCCTTCGACTTCATGTGCTTGGTGAGGTTGCCCTTCGTCTTGAACTTGAAATCACAGTGTTTGCAGCTGTACGGCCGTATGTCTGTGTGCGTTCGTATGTGTTTTCGGAGCATGCTCGGCTTGCGGCAGCGAATGCCGCACTCCTCGCAAACGTAGCGCCCTCTGCCTCGTCCGCGCACGTACGTGTAGTCCTCGTCCGACTTATACCCGCCACTAAATATCTGCACCCGCCCTCGCTGCTTCCCACAGCAGCTGCTTCCCCCGTCGGTCGGAGATTGAAGCACGACGGAAGAGGATGAGCCGGACTCTGTTGGTGATTGCATGGGAAGCTTCGTGACGTCGGTCGGCGACTGTAGCGGCAACTTTGGTGACTGCGCCGACTGTTTGTACATTTCTGGAAGCTGTTGGATGGAGAGCGTCAGTCGTGGCGGTTCTAGACTCATCGAGCGCCCCTTAGCAACCTCGTTAGACTTTGTCACGGGCAGTCGGAGAGCTTCCACTGTTGTTGACAACACGGTTTGTGCATTCTCGCAAGCTGAATGTGGTTCAGCCTTATCTAGGTGCGAGAGACTGCGCTGAAATGCTTGCACGGGTACCCTTTGAGAATTGGCTGACGTATCTACGGCTGGATACAGGATGGCGGACGTTGATGAGGACTGAAGTGATTCACTCTGTTGTGGTTCACTGAGTGAAGGTTCCACCCGGGAATGAAGAAATAATGACACTGGTGGCGTGGGAGAAAGAACTAAAATTTTCGATGCATCCCCTGATGACTGAAGGAATACCTTCGACGGCTCCACTGGTGAAGGCAGCAAAACCTTTAACGATTCTGCAGGGCGGTACATCAACCCTTTTGACTGTTCGACAGGTAACTGCATCAACCTTCCTGCCATCGGCGCTAACCTTAACATCGCCGAGTGTTCACTGAGGCTTGCGTAGGACTTTGTTGCCTTAACAGCAGAGCTGTTCTCAGGATTATCCTCCTGCTCAAATGATAGTGGGAGCTGCAGCTTCGGCGGCTTGCTACTGACACTATCGATGACAGTTGGCTTCTCCTGGTCGGCTTCGTGTGCCGTCATAGCATCCAATTGTTCATGATCCTCACTCTTCTTCCGGCATTCCCAGTAGCTGGAGTGTGTCAGAACACCTCTGTGGTCGAGCGTCGTGTGGGCGACAGTGTAAAGGATGCTGACGTTGCGCTTTCGATTGTGATGGGAGCTGTACAGAGCCATCATGCGCCATGGCGGATCCTTCATGCTGGCTGCATCAGTCACAACTCTCCAGTTTGAGTACATGGAGACTTTTAGCGACTTTTGCGGTACGTACATTGGCTGTGGCTGGTGCACACTACAGAAGGTGACATGCGTAGCTGCGCGAAGACTAGGGTATGTGTGCCCACACAGAAACAGGGGCATGAACATAACTTCTCTTTCTGGCACTCCCTGCGTGTCCACTGCATCCTCTGTGTTTACATCGTCATGGCAACCTCTGCTGCCATCCTGAAGAAGCATGGCAGCACCGATTACTACATGTTGGCCAATCACAATCTATTAGATATTAAAAGTTTAGGGCTAGCAGTACGCAGATGGATTACAACGGGTTGCTTTGCAAAGCTCATGTATCGTATCGAGTCAGAAAAATACGGTATTTAGCCATTGTGGAGTTATAATTACTTGTGTACTAAATTCTGTAATTTACCTACCTCTGAGGATTGACTTACTCTCGGCATAGTTTCTGCTCCACTAGGATCACATCACTATGTAGAGGATGGTCAGTGCAGGGACACACAGAACAAGAACAGCTTGTCGCTTCCGTGGCTCTATCATCTCTGGATGGCTTGGACTGTAATTATTACCAAAACCAAAGTATTAGCTAGAGATCCGTCTTGCTGTCTTTCCGACGATATATTTTGAGTCAAGGGTGCTAAAACATTAATGTTCATCATGCTCAGCCTATTAAAATGTGTACGATTAAAACGTTTCACATTTTGTATGGTGACAGCCAGTAAAATATGCAGTTTAAATGTTAAAGTAACCGGAATATCAGTCAATTAAAATACAGGCGCGTGAGCACGCACGCACGCACACATAAAGAAGGAACACATGCAGAAGATCGATCTGCATTTAGTTGTATTTGAATTATATGCAACAAAGATGTCAAATAATCATTAATAATAATAATAATAATAATAAATATCATGATGTAATGTAATTCACTATTCAATCCTAGCCATTGGCAATAAATGTCAATGACAGAATTAAAATCAATCCAACATTAATGGTTAGGATTATAGTAAGAGCAAGACTAACAATACAACTACAGTACACAAGACCAAGCAACAGTAACCCTCTCAAGTAACACTGGCACTAAAACTAACAGTAACAGTAACAGTATACAGTAACACTAACACTGACAGTAACAGTAACACTAACAGTAACAGCTGTAGGCGGTATTGAATGATAATGATGGTTGCATCTAATACAGTTTCATAGCTTGCGTTTTAAACATTGAACGGGGCTTTTAAATTCGAAATTGGCAACCGATATGGTTACCACTCTTTAAATTATAGTTTTTTCTGCAATTATTAAAGTCGTTAAAATGAAACACCAGCTCGGACTATGAACCCATGTTCTTCACAAATAAATATCAAGGATCATCAAAAGTTTACTGTTGTTGACAACGCATAACTGCAAAGAGAAAATATCTCGGGTGATGATACGCCAAGTTCTAATACTAAATATATAATGCATACCTTACTTCAATCATATACAGCGATCATCGTGTACTATCCCGTGTTAATAGCTCAGCAAAATGCCTAACTGCTTGATAGGTAAAGTTTTCCAAGTTGTCTTCCTGCCCTGCAGATCTGGCATTGATGGTCTTTTGTTTACACGAATAGCGCCATCACGCGGTAAATAGTTTAGTCTTTTTAAATGGTTTCAATGGTTTATATCTATTTCTATGGTTTACCTAGCGCGTCCTATTATTTGTGAGATAGTCACCGTCTAATGTAATTGGTGTCCTGGTCAACATACTAAATATCTTCCTCATAAATGAGGAAGCTGGTGTCTCACTTGCGCTTTTTAATTATGTTTTTTTTTGTAATTTTTATTATTGCACTGACGTTGCATGAGCGGCTTACTTGGAAGCTCACGTTGATACATCTTTTGCTAATGTACCGTCTTTACAAGTAATTAAATGATTAGCTGGCTTGTCGTTTGAATTCCTACCTGAGCTGAAATATCATTTATGGCCACACAAGTCTACTCCACGGCCACGCGCTTTGTCACGCCCTCGCAATACATCCGGGACAACGGCACAACATACACGACGGACACGAGCACATCACGCACCACGCCCACACAAAATTAACTTATGCGGGCTACCGATTTTAAAGAACAAGCAATAAAACTGTAACGATGCGTATTTCGGCAAAAAGTACAATAAAAAAGGGGTACATGGGGTGGCATAGCTAATTATATAAAAACAAGAACCAGTGCCTGCTTCCAATGCGTGGGGAGGGGGGCAAGGGGCAGCTGCGCCTACATTGTATGGGAAAATAATAAATATCGAACAAAAGTGAATAACCCTACATAATTAAGAGTAAATAATTAAACGTAGAGGAACACGCCTTGAAAGATATCCTGTGTTACAAAAGCTAATCTGCGCAATTGAATATGAGCAGTGGGCAGATGAAGAACCCGTTCCATATTTGACAGTGAAGGATGAATTTGCAGGCTTCAACGGTTTGATGATGAGAAACACACGCACTGGCACTGTGTTGCAGTTTTTGTTACAACATCAAGCGATTAAGCTGGCCCAAATTGGACATCAAGGTGTCGTCAAAACCAAGCTACGTGCGAGGGTCTCGTCCTCAGGTATAGATCGTTTGATGGAAGAACGCATTAAGCAACGTTTGCCATGACGAACTGCTACCGCCAATAACACGAAAGGGCCGGAACCTGTCAAATATCTACACCGTACACGCAGGATGGGTACGAGTTTCTGAATGCGTATCATTTGTTGTATAGTAGCGCTTAAATTTTGCATTTATGATTGCAGTATTTTTTCAGTGAACGAACGTAATTATACATTTGTATATAGATTATAACATTGTATAAACACATACATAGTCACGATTCTTGCCATTGGCATTGGTAGCAAGCTCTCAAAATGTGCCGCTCTTGTCGCACTCGATCACTTCTATTTATTTAGTTTGATTTGTTTTAATTTTATCAGCATTGTCTATTTACTTGTTTAACTAGTAACATGTTACCTCAAAAATTGAATTCATAACCTGGAGCAGGAATGCGTGAAGGCGCTAGACTACGACGCGATATCTGAATACGTCGGCGAGACGAGCGACCTCTACTGAGGAACTACGCACGTCGACTTGTGTTTCTCTTTAGTACAACGAGAAAGACAGAGAAGGAAGGAAGGGATGGATAAATCGTGAGATAGAGAGGGAGAAGAAAGGGATGGAGAGAGGGGGGATAGAGAGAGTTTGAGAGAGGGAGAGGGAAAAAGAGAGAGAGGGAGAGAGAGATGGGGAGAGGGAGAAAGAGAGAGAGAGAGAAATCCTAAATACAAATGTAGATAAGAGCTAAGATGTGGTTTCTGCGTTATTACATCTTTATTTAAATGTATAACGCACCGCTCTCTCTCTCTCTCTACCGTTGACAGACAAGGATCAATAAAGCTAATGATAACGTTGAAGGAGGTTTCTATGCTTATCTCAAACATGTGTTTTGAAAATAAAACCGTGACGCAGTACGTTTTGTAAAATAAAAGCCGAAAATCTGGTAATTAATTAAACTATTCGTGCTTCAATAACTCAAAATTTCACGAAATTATAGCTATAGACATGTGTTTATATAGTATCGGTAGATTTGGTAGAATACAATCATATTCGGTTCGCGAGATATTAGGAGTTTTATGTATATTTGCACTTTCTCCTAATTAAGTTTATAGCTGAGTAAAAGAAGAGTGTGGTGAGTGTTCAGGTTTTTGTTTATTGATTCGAAATTTTTTCAAAGTGCTGGGATTTCACTCGTAGTCTCTCTCTCTCTCTCTTGTAGTCAATACAAGTTCCCGCTACTTTGTTATTGGCGTATTTCATTACATTCAACACACACACGCACACGCCAAAACACACAGCGGGCGCACGCAATCACGCCTACGGCGCGCGCCACACACCACACCACATCACACCAAGCGCAACACACACACACACACACACACACAACACACACACACACACCACACACACGACACACACAGCGCACGCGACAGACACGGCGACACGAGCAGCGCAACGCGCAACATCGCAAACACAGGCGCACACGCGCAAAAACACGCCCGAGGCAAACACGCCACGCGCAACATCAGGCAACATCACACACAAGGCGCAAAGCACACAGCGCAACAAGCACACGACAACGCGACACACACACACACGCGCCACGCGCACACGCAGCACGTGCACACGCACACCACACGCGCAACACACGACACACACACACACACACAACACACACACATACACAGCGCAACCACACCGCACACCACGCGCACCACCAACAACACGCACACGCACACAGGGCGCCACATCACACACCGCACACGCACACACGCGCCAAACACGCGCGCAACACGCACACGCGCACACACATGCCATGCACACGTATTGAACGTATGGTTCAGATATTGACGCTTTCAGACGTGCGACAGTCGATGGGTGGAGATGCTGGATGCCGCGTCACGATCGCCCACGTCTGGTGTTCAGCGGAAAATACAGGGGAAGGTGGCGTTCGTGCTGCATTAGCGTCATGTAACAGCGTTTCCTCTCGCCAACACACGCACCACCACATCGCGCACACGCGCACGCACACGCACACGCAAGACACACTACGGCACGCGCAGCGATTAGCACGAACCACAAACTGTTTAACACACAAATACCCGCGACAGATCTCGTTATGCAATCAAATTAGCATATCAGGAAACAGCATGTTCAGTTGTTCAACAGTATTTCACACGACCGCGCCGTAGATTAGCCTATATGACGATACGCGCGTACGTATATTCTGCGTAATTAATGATAAATATTTCGTGCTTCAATAACTCAGGATTCACGAATCTAAGCTAAGACATGTGTTTAATATGTATCTAGGAATTTTTGAATGTACTCAAATCGTTCGGAGTATTAGAGTTTTATGTATTATATGCAATTCTCCTAATTAAAACATGTTTATTAGCCTGAGTAAAAGAAAAGGCTTACGTGTTCAGTGTTTATTGTCATTGATAATCAAATCGTTCGCGAGATATTAGGCTAGTGACGATACGCGCGCGTAGATTGCCTATATGACGTACGCGCGTATCGTATATTCTGGCTAAAGAAAACTATTAAACGTATTCGTGCTTCATAAACTTCAAATTACAGAATTAAAGCGGCTCATAGAATTTTAGCTCTCCTCAATCGTTCGCGAGTATTAGAGTTGGGGCGTGTGAAACACTCCGAGTTAGCCGGCGAACGAAGCTGGACCAGATCTCAGATGACGTCAACTCGTTCGCGGGAATTAACCGGTTGGAGTGAACCGAGATGACCGGACACAAACTGCATAAGATTGATAAAATATATGTTAAATAATAATGTATTATTTATTTATATAATATATTATTTGTTAAATAATATATTATTTGCTAATGTACGAAATCTATTTACTACCGTGTGTGTGTGTGTGTGTGTGTGTGTGTGTGTGTGTGTGTGTGTGTGTGTGTGTGTGTGTGTGTGGTGCGTGCGTGCGTGCGTGCGTGCGTGTGACAGTGTGTGTGCATGTGTGCGTGTGTGTGTGTGTGACAGTGTGTGTGCGTGCGTGCGTGCGTGCGCGTGTCTGTGTGCGTGTATGTATATATCATAATTATAGTACAGTGGTAATTTATTTTCCACCAGTGCCAACCGTCCCGTTGTAACCGGATAAACGTGACGAGGTCCAAGGAGACAGAGAATGAACACGTCGAAAGGGTTTCGTGCAACGATTGAGTGGTTACCTGCCCCAGCCACGTACCAAGGTGCAGCGGAGTCACTTGTACACGCCTGAAGCTGGCGCGTGTTCGGAAATAACATTCCTACTGAATAGAGTAGCATATTAAGTGGAACGTTTCCTCGTAGACAGGTCTGACTGTGACATTGTTAAATATTTGCGTATGACCGACTATATTACGATGATGAAACGCCATGAGCGTGTATACAACACAACTTAAGTGTTCTCCTTAGATAGATGTTACGTCCATTATATTTACTTATTTTGCTGTCATTAATTAATTATAATTTAATTCATGTTATTAATTAATAAATAATTAATTTCGTTATTAGTGTAGGTGTTGGTAGTAACAAGTTATCCGGTAATGTAAGCCGTGCTTAGATACATAAATGGACGGATAAGCAGTTAGGTAGATATATGGATGGATGGGTAGATAGAAGGATGAATGGATGGATGGATTGATGGATGGATAGATAGATGGATGGATAAAGGGCTGGATAGATAGATGGCTAGATAGATAGATCGCTAGATGGATAGATGGATAGATCGCTAGATGGATAGATGGATAGATCGCTAGATGGATAGATTGCTAGATGGATAGTTAGATACTAGATAGATAGATGGATAGATACAAGAGCGTATAAAGAAGGATACTTGTACCTCCTTTATACGCTCTTGATAGATATATACACGGCTCGATAGACGTTGCCTTTTGCACGCCTATCGAGCCTTAGACGTGCCTTAGACGGCCGCCGATAGACGTGCCTTAGTACGCCTTGAACAACGAGCTCAGCAACTCCATTGTCTGTGCGTTATATCAATTGATACTCCATCAACTTGTAATTAGGCCTATACGCCGTTCAAGTTACCGCCGCTAAAAACTTTGACGACAAATACACAGAGACGATGATAAGAAAGGTTCTATATATGTGTTTGTTGGACGCGAGAGAGAAGCCTGTCACAACATGACAAAACCCTGTGAAAATTCGCTGGACAAACATCGATTGGTTTATAATATGTATAAAAATAAATAAATAAAAATATAATGAGATGTCAAATTTTAATTAGCAAGCTTTCGAGCGAACGTCTCTTCATCAGGCTATACAATCATTATATTTTTATTTATTTATTTTCATATTTACATGGGTGTCTTGTGTTTTTACTTCTACATACAGGGCCGTAGCCTGCGGGGGGGGGGGAGAGAATTGCCCCCCTAGATTTTGGAGCCAAATTAAAAAACAAATTGTTCTACTAAAAGAGAATTGTCGTAGTCAGAATGAAGGCTGTACATGTACTCAAAAGTGCCTCAAATACCATTTCCTGCGATCTACATTTTCCAAATTTTTGGTGGGAGGACCCCCAGACCCCCCACCTTTTATCAACCCCTCCTTGAAATCCTTGATCCGTCATTGCCCCCCCCCCATGCATTTGCTCAGCCTACGGCCCTGACATATAATGTATATATGGACATCTATAGTTATTATGAAATATGTTGGGTTCTGTGGTCTGTTCACGACAAAACTGATACGAGAGAGAAGTGTTCAATGTTGCTGTTGGTGGCAAAACGACACATGCTAAATTTTCCTATGAATAGTAGTGAAATTTAGCCGTCATAAAAGATTTACTAAACGTATATTTTATGAAATAATATACATTACACTGTCACCTGAGTGTGCAGAATATAAGGTAATTTGGCATCATGACACTTTCCATTATATATAATAAGGTAGAAACGGTGACTACACATTTCAAAGTAAAGTTTCGTACATAGTACGTAATAGTCGTCGTGGGTGTAATCTCTAACCATGCCAAAACAGGATACAGTCCACACTTCTCATTCCTAAGATTTACTACACACCGGCATATATAATTAAATATGTACATATAAAAATACCCTGTTAAGATTTCCGTGACCAAATAGCTATTAGGTATTGAAATTATATTAAAGCTAAGCTCAAATAACCGAATAGTCACTGCACGACATCATTGCGTGCAATAAATAGAGCAAAAGTAAGAACTAAACTAAACCGAGTTATCACAACGCGTTTTTACAAGCGCGTGTTCACAAGCCTTGCCTTCAGCGTATACCTAAACAACCCAGTAAAGAGAATCCAAAAGTGAATAGCAATTTTTCCTCCTTAACAACGACAAAAACAACAACAGCTGCAGCAGCAACAACAACAAAAGAAGCAGCAGTAGCAGCTGTAGCACCAGGAACAACACTCACCAGTTTTATAACCACGATGAACCTAAAATATTTCTACTTCACAAGCCTAAAATAATCCGGACCTATTTCTACAAAAAAAAACATTTTCCGAGCACGCATTCATGTTGCGAATTTCACAGTAACATCCTTTATCATTTGCTTTATACGACCTGACCACTCGGCAAAATTATATAGTCTGGTGAACGTTTCATTAGTTGACTGCATGATTATTTACCCTGTACGTGTATATACATATTATAACTGAGGCAAGTATGCAATGAAAGAGCCTTTTGACTACACACCAACCTAAATAACCTTACAATGTTGCATCCAGACAACTTTATATTAATACAATGAGTTGGATGTCACTAGGTGACGAAACAGTGATATCATTACAGTTACAGTATGACTTTCCATTCCCACGTCGATCACTGCACATCCATCCGTAAGCACACAAAGTTACTGCGTGAATACACACGCACACAAAATGTTTATGCCTATGTAATATAAAAATATAGTATGTGCAATCATACATTTATCATTATCCAGGGTTGCTACAGCAATACTGAAATGTAATTAATTTGGTCGGAGTAGCATTCGCTTGGCAATTAAGTATAAAAGACTGTTTTTGTAAACGGGGATTGCGAAAGGCATCAAATATTACTGTACCCATCCTTCAGAAGACTATCTGGCACTTAAGACTACGTACACACTCAATAATTTTACATTGAAAATCTCACTTGTTTGATCTTTTCTCGACGATGAATGAGATACGCACACATGCATACACGCACAATGTGGAGGGTGTATAACTTTAATACACAGACGTTTACTTTACATAAAGTAAAACTGCTATATCACACACATCAGCTTCCTATTGCGTTCATCCATCCAGGCTCTCAATCTTCACGAGTCATTTCATAACCTCATAAATGTTAGTCTTCAAAAGTCCTGGGGACCATAACGAAGACGGAGAGAGAAGTGATCAAATCGATAGATCCACACTGTGGATCGCAGTGGAAAAGGTTGCAAATTTGCTATTTACCAAAGATGAAGGCAGGGAATTCCAATACGGAATCACAGAAACAAAGCTAAACTTAAAAGGATCCTTAGAAGTTTGCACGTGCCGAAAACAGTGATCACGCTCAGATGATCGAGTGCAGCGAACAGGCGTCATTAAGCAAGAGGGAATGCCAATTTTCAACTCACCATGATAAATTTTATAGAAAGTTATGAGTTTAGAATGAAGAAAGCGGACACGAAGAGGCCAATCAAGACGAGCCAAAACAACATCAACACTATCATCATAGTTTCTGGATACCCATCTCGCAGTTTTATGCTGAATGGCAGGGCCGTAGTGGCCGCCACGGCAGCACGGCACTGCCGTGGCACTATTTTGATTAAAAAAAATTGTGCAGGGAACCAAGGAGCTAGATATACCAAGGAGATGAAACGACACATTCGTGGCACCAATTTGGTGGAAAGATTGGATCTAAGCAGAATACCTAACACAGGCGAATCGGCACACAGGGCAAGATAAATCTTAAAGAACTACTGATAATATCGTTATTAGTGTAATTACTAGTGACAACAGTAGTAGTAAAGCATTCAAGAAGCCATTCAATGTGATAATGGGATGGAGAGGAGGGAGAGAAGCTGGTGGAGGAGGACGAGAGGAAGTTGAGTCAGTGGATGAGAAGGGAGGAAGATGAGGAAGGGAGAAGGTAATTGGAGTAGGAGAGGGGAGGTATAGGAGAGATGAGGGCGAGGAGTGAGAAGCTGCTGGAGGTGGGAGGGGGAAGAGGAGTTGAGAAGGTGGTGGCAGATCAAGACAGGATATAGAGGAGGAAGAGGAAATGCAGGAAATGACATTTCCAGGCTCTAAATTTCAAAAATTTTCTGGGGGCCCCCAGACCCCAGACGAAGGCAGGGGCTTCGCTACTGCGGCATTCACCGTGTGTGCCTGAGGCACACACCATAACCGCCACTTATGCTATTATTACTGGGTGATCCTACATTTTTTTGCAGTAGCACATTTTGGGAGGCCACTACAGCCCTGAATGGTATCCAATTTAGAGGCACCAGCCTGGCGAAGCATATTCTATTATGGGCAGAACCATAGTTTTAAAAGCCAGGGACCGAGTATACCGCATATCATAAATGCGATATGCGATATATACATTTGCATTGACATCAATTCATCCATGCAACAGTAAGCTCTGTACTACTGCAGGGGTAAATGCCATGTGAGCCTGCTAGTGGACGAGGCGTGGATCTCCAGTTGTGGAAGCTGACTCATGCATAGCATAGGGGGACAATAGCAGCAACTATAATAACGTTTAAACATCACTCTGCACCAAGGATCACAAATTGGCCCACGAAGTTGAGGACGCCCAGCCCGATGATGATGCAGTGCAGGAAGATGGAGGTGTTGGTGAGACACTTTCTGCGCTTCTGCTCCATCATGTACACAATGCCTGGCAGCGTGAAGATATACGCCAGGCCCGAGAACGAACCACAAAATCTGCAACGTAAACATTGTATAGATTAGACAGTTTGCAAATTTATTATATTTACTTTTTTTAATTGTGCTGGTTAATTTAATTATTTATGGTCTCATCCCATTAAACCATTAGTAGTATATGCAAAATGGGTTTCACAAGTTTTGATGCTAGCACTAATATTTACCTGATGATTGTTCCAATTTGTGGGAGGAACCTTGCAAATAGAATGCAGATTGCAGAAAGCAGCACGTTTAGCATTACGACGTGTTTCAAACTGCAGAGGGAAGAAACCGGTGATAATCATAAACGTCTATGAAACCAGATATGTAGTAATTTTGTAGCGTGACAGAGCATTTCACTCTCACCACTACTTACACCATTATTTAATTTTTATCTCCAGCAGTTTTGCTTGCATAATAATTTTCAATTGACCTATCTGCCTGGAATGATTCACAGGTAACTCTAACTAATCCACATTATGATAGGGGTATTCTAAAAAATGCTGCTTAATAACGAACTTCCGCATAGTTGACAATTTGGCATGTATGAATAGAAAACGTATAATACAGTATCAATAGGTCAATTAGATAGATAGATCGATGGGTCAATCAGCAAGCATTGAGTAAACATTGATTGTACTCATAACCCACGTCACAATTCGCGTCACGCTGACTGATTCATAAAATTCAGCAATGCCATCTAGATTTAGAACCCCATGAAATCAAACTTGCGCGTACCTTGGGTATATGGATCCGAACAGAGCATGCATGACCTGGATGCGAAAGATGTATGCTATGAGAGGAAATACAGTCGTCATCTGGAACAGCAGACCCACTCGAGCAGCAAACGTTAGGACATCGTCGCCACGAAAGTTGTTGAGAAAGTTCTAAACGAATAACAAATACATAGGAAATACATGAGTGATAGTACCTTTTGGTCATCTGCACATATAATTTCATAAAAATTCTAAAAGGCTAATATCATTTTGTTGTATACGTAAGATGGATAAGTGTATTATTTGAAAATGGTAAAATATTTAACAAAACCAATGTATGCTGTCACATCTGCAATTTTTTTAACAGAGCGGACTCATTCGCGTATATTAACTTAATCAACTAGTAAATATAGATGAATCATATAATAGTAAGAATTGTTATCAATAAATTACTTCTTACACAATTAACTCACATCTTGAATGCATCCCTTGTCCAATGGAAACATTATATAGAACGCGGAAGCCACAAATACATAGGTGGCAGCTACAAGGATGTAGGCAATCGTCAAATCTCTGGCCTGAAATAGATCAATACAAGAAAATTTCTTAACATGGTATGTGAAAATCGAAATTGATGCTAGGTACACACTGAAAATTACAATCATTCACAAAATCAATACGTGTTACACGAAATCAAAAACTCAACCCACAAGACACAAACCCAATGGATAATAGAAATTATTTCAGCTTAAAGTGAAGTATGGTACTTGCATTATTCTCTGGTTTCTTCTGGTTTCTCATAATCGAAATTATTGCGTTGTGAATGAAGTAGGCTAGTGCCAGAATTCCTGTGAGAGCTGGGAACAAGGTGCGGATCTCTGCAACACATCATAGTCCAAAACTTAGAAACTCTCTCCAATCACAGTAAAAATGTTGCTGATGGCATCACCACACTATCATAAATCGCATTTAAATGAAATTGAAAATGACACTTCGGTTCTGGAAATTACATTGAAACAGTACTTCCGGGGGAGGAGTGAGTGACATGAAACACTCGTTCGTTGTTAGTGAAGGTTTATTAATAAACTGAAAATCTGAATTTCATTATTTCAGTAATTGTACTTGTCACTTTTGCTGATAGGGTCTATGTCTCCCTGGGTACTGCCGGAACGTACCCTGGGTACGGTCCGGTATACCGGAACGTACCCTGGTAACTATCTGATATAGTTAGGGTTAGGGAGTAGGCGTAGGCGACTCCCTACACTCGTTAGTGGAGTAGGCGAGGTACGGTCCGGCATATTAGATAGTACCAGGGTACGTTCCGGTATACCGGACCGTACCCAGGGTACGTTCCGGCAGTACCCAGGGAGACATAGACCCTGGCAGCGTCACTTGTACCGTTACCATTATCCCAGGTTGTGACTACACGGCAGGATATACATACGTGGTATCGTTTCAAAGTCAAAGTGGACACCGCAACTACCGGTTTTCAAACTCACAAAGATGATGAGGTAGGCAACCGACAACGTGCCTGCAACAAAACCCATCTCGATGACGACAATTACAAACAATAAACTTTAATTTTACGGCAAGATAAGAGGTACACGAGGAGAGGATTCGGTGCAGGGAGGGCAAAATGAAACCACAATTAGCAAACAGATTTAAAAAAGATATATGATATACACATAAAAAACATATATGAATAATTTTCTCGACTTAATGACTTGAGTGCATTGAAGCACATTCATTACGAATTAAGACACAGCTTTTCCTTAAAACCAGTATGAAGTGCTAAACTAAATGATTGCATGCAATATCAACGCGCACACGAATAACCCTGAACGCACCGAGCGAATTAAATTTGGTGAAGAAAGTGGGGCTCTTGAAGTTCATTAGCGGCAACAGCAGTATGACGAGGTACAGTGGCACCGTCTTCACCTCATTCCAAATGGACTCGTATATGCGAAAGTTTGCCGGTAAGATGTAGGAAGGAGTTGTGTAGTTCGGCGTTGCCGAAGTCGCTGTGAATGCAACAGTGGCGAAGTTCGATAATCCGAAAGTGTCGTTGTCATCAGGGCTGATCGTTGCCGGGGAAATAGTAGAAGGGTTATCCCCACCATGATAGTTGGAGATGTGGCAGACAGCTGCAAAATAACCACCACAGTGTAATTCCTAAAACGTATTAAGAAAGTTATTCATAGGCAATATGAACATGCAACACTGGCCTTGTCAACATGACAGATATGTAGTATTCTATAAATGTTTCTTTAAAATCGGCTGAAAGTGACATGTTTTATTTACACTATGCATATATATTTTATAGCATTATTAACGTTGTATGACCCATATAGTGAGAGCAATTGATTATTATACATCGCCACTTGGTAAATAAATAAAACTACCGTTTCCGCATGTAGGCGCTATAACACTGTCCAGGCCAGTTGACTCTTCATCTAGCCCATAATACTGGTCTAAAAAGAACATAAGACTATTCAGTAAAATACTTGAACTAAACAAATAAGAGCAAATAGGAGCATAAAAACTGGTCATCGGTGAGTTTTCAATCCAAATCTTTCTAAATGATCACATTCAGAAGTAAACGATACGTGCACGTCAGCATGAGTCATTTTTATTGATGAACATGTTAAACAAAAGAGCAGGCGGTGCAGTGATGAGCTACCGAAGCACTCACTAGTAAGTATAGTGTAGTAACTGTAGTTCTACACCACCTGCCTGTACTTACCATAGATGTAGTTGACGGAGTGGTACAGAAAGTTTGTCATCAGCACCCAGTAGGCGATCATCGCTCCGAGAAACGCAGACAGCGAGAAGAACATACTCGCCCAGTTGCCATACTTACCCAGATACAGTGCAACAATATCGGAGAACTCCAAGATTTCAGTCTTCACTCCTGTGGAAGAAAGTATGACATTATATATAGCGAATCATTATGCGCAAATTGTTTCTCTTTCAAAAGAAGATTCTACAAATTGTCACTTTCGAGATGACTTTTTATAACATGCAGTCTCTTAAAACGATCATTGCGAGAATTTTGCTCAGAAAAACTAAATATAGCTGAATATAGTCTCACCTGACAGCGAAAATATCACTGATTACACCAACATTCAAAACACAAATATTTTATGCAGTTATAGCATAGAAAAATTGATTTGACCACATCATACCAGCAATACATTTTTTTGAGTCAGGACTTTCAAAAATCACAAATGGCGTCTCAAACAAGCGAACATAATTAAAACAAAGGGGCATCTATTTGTGTGTGATAAGTATTCTCGCTGGCGGTACGCAACGAGGATTTGATCCAATTCTCTCTCCGTCTTCGTTATAGTCCCTAGGACTTTTGAAGACTAATATTTATGAGGTTACAACTTACACTCTTGTTTGTGTTACGCTACTACGCACCTCTGTGTTTACATCTGACCAAAAATATCTCCGGTGCGATTTTTGCATTACTGTACCCTTGTTGACGTCTCGCGGTACCGCGAGAAAGTGCGAGACATGACAGCGAAAATCAACAAGAGAACGCAAAATTGTAATCGTGCATGATTTTGTCTTTGCATGCAGTTCTAGGACATTTTATTGTTATTTCAAACAATTACTGTTACTCAAGCAACAATGGTAGGCATCATGAGAGTGAGAATAAACACTAAAAAACGCTGAAAACAACTCGCAATGATCGCTTTAAAAGAACATTCACACCAACTTTCTTGTGGAATTTCACTGCACTCAACTGAGAGTGCCCTCCACAAAACGTATGTAACTCCACACAAAGTGACTGAAATTCAGCAATACACGTTAGTTTAGTAGCCAAGACAGACTTTCATACACAGAGTGTGAACCTAGTGGCCCAGGGAACTTACTTAAAGAGCTAATCAGATTTTAGTGGGCATGCTTGATCACTAAGAAGCCTGTCATTATTTGTTATAAGGTTGAAGCAAAAAAGGCTTTACGGCTTCAAATTAATAAATAACTGAACACTTTTTAAACATTTGTGTCTAGGGTAGGTACATATTTTTAGCATTTAGCTAATCAGGACATATACCTGCTTGCTGTGGAGACTTCAGTACTCTGTAGCAGGTATAGAGGGATATGGCTGCCATAAACAACATCAGGAATAGACCAAATAAAAAACCAGCCTGCAACACAAAATTTGTCAATTAATCATCTCTATGACATAAAACTGTATTATATTAAAAATGGTCTGCTTTGTATGTGTTATTAAAATTTGTGCTATAGGGTAGTAATCAACAACCATTACAAGCATATACACCACATACACTTTTACATGACACCCAGCCTCCCAATGCACACAAAAAATGTATTTTTTTCCAGATTAGGCAGGAAGGTATGAAGCAACATTTATTTGCAACTGCTAAAGCATATATAGCGGTCATTGACCTCCCTCTCTCCAGCTCCGCAGTGTACCCATGTGATAATGTTGATAATTGTGAATGGCTTAAGCACACTAAAGATTAGGCATATCGCTGTAGCATAGGCAACAAGATTGCAGTGCAAACCTCATTCTTTTTACTGATGGCTAGCTCTTACTAATGTAGGGAAGGTTTCCGATGTCAGACGTGACACGTCTGTCAATGATCAATGTGCATGGCACAATCCTATTGTTGCAGTATTACAAATCATTTTTCATTGCTACACTAATATCTGCCACATACCTGGTGTAAAGCCCAAGGCATGCTTAATATACTTGTCCCCATCATTGTGTTCCACACTGAAAAGCTGAAAATATACACATGTATTAATTGCCCATTACTTTTTGTGCACTATCCCCTCTCTCGCTGTCCATCTCCCTCCTTTCCTCCCCCTCTCTGTCTTGTTCACTCTCTCATCTTAAATTCTCATACGAAACCATTGTCTCTCCCTGTCGTTGACACGAAACTACAGATCTATAACACAGGTAGATAAATATGAACTCACATGAGCACTATACTGCCTTGCTTGCCTTTGGTGAGAGCAGGGATTGGGAGCAGAGAGTAGTACTGTGCCGGAATTATATGACTGGGAATAACCTGTAAAAGTCGTCACATTAATACAGCGACATGAATTAATAGTCAAATGTTCACACATGCACGCACATACGTGACATTAGGCACACAAACCATAAGTAGTCTTCATAATCTAATATCAGTAGAGACTCTTACACTTGAAAGTGAATGCAATAATAACGCAGATCATTGAGCTTACAAGTGTTTTATCAGAAGGAGGTGTCAGCTTGCTGTAGTAGCGATACCGACTGAGGGTGGCCTGAGTACGAGCGCTATATTTCTGATCGCTGTTCTTGTCTTCCTCATCTGCGAGCGGCGTATAGTAATACGGCTTCCTGTTGTCTTCGTATGGCGAAACATAGAACGGCTTGCGAGCATACTTTGCTTCATCTCTGCCACTGTCAAGTCAGAGAAATAGTATAGAAATAATTAGGTGATTACTTCTAAGGTGCACATTCTACCCCCCCATTCACTTGATATACGTACTGTATGTTAGATCGTTTAAGACTGATAAACGTGCTACTGTGATAGCTTCCTTCTGATAAAACCATCAACGCTTTTTGTGTACTATGATAAATTATGAGAAAAACAAGAAATAATGGGCATTCACATATAATGCAATGAGGTTCTGCACCTTTCTCGATTGGAAACTGATACACTTCTACTGCAGCATCCACTTGGTCCAGGATCATCACTAGTGATGCTCTCTGTACTTTGGTACAACCTAACAATATGCAGATAGTGTTAAAAAGTGTAATGTTAGTGTTAAGACAGTATGAAAAAGTAACTACTGGGATATGACTACACGTTATATCATTGTTGTCACATAGAATACTGCTCAAGTTGCTGTTGTTTTCCTTAAAACATCAGCTGACTGTCAATATTCACAAGTTGGTTGACCGGTGGATGACAAGTTGCACAAATATATGTGCAAAACCATGTTGTCAGTGGAATACAGACTGGTTCCATGTCGTTGTGTCGACCGATTTGTGCACTCAGTGCCAGTTAAAGCAAACTACACCAGTAGACATAAACGTTATTTATTTGGATCACTGACCCACATTGAGACATGCAGATGCACAATACACTTTCATACCAACTGTTTGATTTTTACAGTAACTTCCAACTTAACATTCTTTAGTCTCAAATCTTCATTTGAACAGAAATTGGTACATGATTACAGCAGTGTGCAAATTTGCTTCAATCATTGCTAACATAGTTCCAACTATTCGTGCAAAATACAAACCTACAGAGTCAATGACACACTGTACTGCCAAACGCCCTAAACTAAGTGAGCTGTTCATATCAAGTATCAGCTTACCCCTTGAACGTGAGCTACACATCTTGTCTTTTTTGACATTTTAATAAATACACTCAACTTTTTACAAGGGTAACCACATTCAGGGAAATAAAAGAAACCTCTGTCGTCAACCACAGGGGTTTGTGATAAAACTTGAGAACAGAAGCAAAATTTACCCTTGAGAAAAGTCGGACACATAAACTGAGCAAATAAAATGCTGGCTAGAAAATACAGCCCAGGATATATATTTAGCACAAATACACTAGGTCAACATTTGGAAAAGGATTGAGATGAAAAAGACAGGAAGATGAAAATATACAGTGCTCTGTTATAGCAAAAGACCCAGCCTATCACCTTGACATCCACCAAGTTTGTAGACTCACACGTGTGCCCTAAATCCACTACACTAACAAATAATTAGTCCAACACATGTAGTTGGAAATTATTCAACTGTGCATGGCCAATTTAACAGCCATATTTAAGGCAAATAGTTACTTTCGTTTTTATGTGCCTTTTATGTGCCAGAACAGAAGGAAAATCATTATCACAATATAACAATGTTTTTCAGATGTTACCGTAAACAAGGGGTTAATTCGGCATGTTGTACAAGGTTGCTGCAACTACAACATGGCTTTTCATAAACTAGGGATCCAGATGGATAAAATGAGACAAGTCCCAGCTTGTTATACCTCCGCAGGGTTCTCCCTACGTTGCGCAAACGGGGCGCGCGCGCGCCCCGTTTGGGAAAACTCCCCCCTGTTTGAATCGTTGCGCCCCGTTTGGGAAAACTCCCCCCTGTTTGAATCGTTGCGCCCCGTTTAAATTCCACCACAATAAAAGTTTGCCAGCGCGGGAATCGATCGTAAAGAATTGCCGTTCGACGAGGACATCCGACGCGTGTATTTTTACCGTACGACGCATGCACTGAAGACAGTACACAAGTTAACCTGACAATGCACAGTTAACCTGTCACTAACTGTACACCGACTCAGCTATCTTATATATACAAGAACCCCAAATACCGTCTATGGTGTGGTGGCGATTTTACGCATTAATTAGTCGTACGGTAAAAATACACGCCCCTAATTTCCCCTTCCCCTCCCCTCCCCCCTGTTTGAATTTTATCCTGGGGAGAACCCTGCTCCGGTAGGGGTATCTCCCTAAATAGAGCCCTTTTTCAGCTTCGGCCACTGCACTAATACACAGGCAGGATCTTTTATATGATGTCACAGCAGCAATAAAACTGAAGCTAAATGCCAAATTGCAGGATGAGTATGCTGGCTTTCAAGTTGACAATAAAATAACTTATATCATTGTAATAATTACTTTGAAATTGCATACAAAACTATTGGAAATTTTGAGAGAGAAAAAACCTTAACTTGCATCAGTTGTTTAGTCGATAATCAATACTGAATATTTTATAAAGCAGAATTCATGTTGAGAACTGATGGTCGTATGGAGAATAGTTTCAATCACATGTTATAGTAAACCAGTTTTCCCCATCCAGCCAAGTTCCCATGTGGTATGCTCACACGTAGTGATGTCACGATCATCGATTATACTCGATCATCGGTTGAACAGTGGCTCAAACCAAGCGCTTGGTTATCAAAATCCATAATCGATTTCATCAAAAAAAAATAAAAAAAATTCGAATTTTATTTTTGGAAAAAGTGATGAGAATCAGAGATATCATCGCTACTATACAAGTTATCCTTTATTAACATACATGTATTATACACACAGTAGTAAACAGTGCAAAACAAACAGTAAACAGGGATAAACAAGCACATACATGCACACACGTGCATGCGCACGACGTTACGCACACGCAGGCATTCAACACCTCGAGTAACCGATTGTAACCGATCATCGGTTACTTGGGTCCAACCGATGATCGATTACAAAATTACAACCGTTGACAACACTACTCACACGCCTTAGCAAACAAGAACAAACATGCATCCAGATATAAATTTGTTCCTGGCCATCTACAACACTAGCAGTAGCAGCCAGCTCAGCACATTTTTTACATTTATGTATACTCTCCAATTATTGGAACATTCCTTTGTAAAGATTTTACTTTTGCCATGTTAAGATTTTTAATTTGAACTGACATTCCGAGTCATTATTATGATTATTTTGGTAACATGAACCCTATATAATTGTTCGCCTGAAGGACTGTTAGCTTTTATTTAAGTAGAGAAGAGCCACTACACTCCCCATTGCACTCAGTTGAACTAGCCTGCACACCTCCCATAAACACGACTAATTACTTATCAAGGTCATGCTTTAAACCTAGAGAATATCTCAGATTTTGTCTTTTCTGCATATACCAATGCAATACCTTCTACGATGACTTACTTGAAATTGAACTACTTTCAATAAGACCTGGGAGTAGTGATTCATAAGTCACTACTTATGTCATACATGCGCACAGGCACACCATGTGTGGCTAACCTTGGAGAAAGAGGGATAGATAGAGACTGACTGAGTTAGGTATAGAGAGAATGAGAGAATACGCGAGCAACCATGCACGCACGTGCATGCAGAGCTAGAGATAGATAAGGAACAGGAGTGTGACAGGGTTGGAGGCAGATAGAAAGCAGGAGGATGAAGCACAATGTAAAATAACATAGAGATTTCTCTAAAGGTTACCTTACAAAAGGTTCGCTGACTATCCTTTTCATCCGGGTTACTTTAGATATCAACTGCGTTTTCTCCTCTAAACTTTCGCCAGCGATGTTACTTGAAGAGTTGGAGTGTGTGGAGGACGGCATGGCTCTTGCCTGAATATAACAGCGATAATGGTGACACTGTACTATTCTTGATACACTTGAGTGAGTTGACTGGTGCATACAATACCTAGGTAGGCTTCAGTGTATAGGCCATGCTGTCTTCGATACGATATAATCCATTCGATATAATCCATACTAAACACTGACAAGTATAAGAACGTAACCATGTTATAAATAATAACGTACCGCTGCCAGTGGCAGTGACGCGGTCTTTCGGCCCACTCAAAGTGTAGTGAATGGAGTCTACAAGTACAACTAGAGTAGTGAACTACATTTCACTACAGACTATACAGTACACACACTTATAGTTATAGTTATAGTTATACCACCAGGCACCACACAGTTTATACTACTACCAGTACCACAGTCTGGCACAGATACCACTACCAGTAGGCAGTACCAGTGGCACAGATACTTACGTTTATCTTCCTGTCACTGTGACTATATATATAGGCTGTTGCTCCTGCGACGGTACCGTCGCCGAATTTTTTTCTCTTCAACTCACGGTAGTGATGCCAGCGCCATCTATCGGCGAATAATAACTACCGTTGCTTTTGGTACGATATTATATATATCATCCTGTCAAAATGTAATCCTTCAAGCTGCACAGCACCACAACCACGGGTGCACGATATCTGTATGAAGTCAAAATAATAACAAGCCCGTAGTAGTAGAGTCTAGAGACTAGAGCCAGAGGACCATTTCCATGCAAGTCGTCGCTTAAAGTGTCGTGCGGTGCGCATGACCGTGTGATGGGTGCTGTAAGGGGTAAACAAACACTACACTCTACAGTCTACAGAGTACAGTATTAAATACTATTATCCAACAAGATGTGTCCGATAATGCTTTAATAGAATAGTATCTGGTATCTATGGTATTTCGTATATGGCACAGCCTCACGTGTTTTGACAAAACGTTTATTTACATGAGTTATTATTAATTATTATAAAACTTTTATACTTTTGAACTTTCAGTGACAGCTGATTTAGTGACGTCACTTCATTAATGCACTATTATTTAGTATTTTTACGTAGGAAGTAAAATTTTCCAAAACTATTTAATAATAAATCATATAAATATGTATATCTTGATATTTATAATAGGAATTTATATATATATCTGTAAGTGAAAGAATGAAAGTCATCCCCTACTAGCCTAGTTTACGCACCGACTTCTCCTAATTGCACCCGATTGCACGGGTGGGTAGCGTGTGCTAGACTGGTACCCGTTCGCCACCTTCACTCCGACACCACTGATCTCTATAATAATATCATAATAGATTATATTATAGAGATCAGTGTCCGACACCGGCATATATCCTTCACTACACTGACAGTTAGTGTAGTGTGTGGAACTGTCGACCGGGTACCAGTCTATGCGTGTACAGCACAGTGCACACAAGAGTGCAGCTAGTCACGATTCACCCAGTCACTAGTGAGGTACCTTGGTTATGGTGCTACCTTGTGACGTTAACGTGCCCTAAAAGTCTGTACGTTTCTTTCTGAAAAGCCACAGTAAATATGACTCTGTTATCTGTTAAAGTGTCAACATGCTCTTTTGATGGCCAGAAGCCAGGAACGAGTGGCCTAAGAAAGAATGTTACGATCTTTAAGCAGAAGAATTACACAGAAAATTTTGTACAGTCTATTTTGACTGCTCTTGGAACCGAGCTCGCCGGTTCCACCTTGGTAGTAGGAGGAGATGGAAGATATTATCTTAAGGAGGCCGTCGATATTATTATCAAAATGTGCGCAGCGAATGGGGTAAGGACTTGCAAACATAACTGTTCTGTAATATTTAATAGAATAAGTTATCTTCAGACTGTGCAGTTAAAATTGTAAAATGTAAGGAACAATTTGATTACAGATTACTGCATGAGTAGGTTAATTTACCATCAGGGGCGGATCCAGAGAGACCGGGTACAAGATGGCATTGCGCAAAAGATGCGTTGTTCCCCGACCGCCGAGAGCGGTTAAGCCGCGCACTTCCGCGGGACTGGGCGCACGCGCGACCGCGGGGTGTTGTATGTAGCATCTCGCGCTGCCCGCTATACAAATTCGAATATTCGCGAATCCGTATAGCGGGAAGCGTGACATCGTGCAGTTTTCGTCAGACGTACACCGGCTTGACTACGGCGGCCTTGGGGGGGGGAGGGGCAGCAGGGGCCAGTATACGTAGGTTTAGCTACGTGTAAATACTGGCACGGCCACGCCAGCACGTGCTCGCACGACGTGCCGTCACCACGGGCAGCGCGGGGTTACGAGGTTGGTAAAAACATATGCCACGTACGCAGCCAGGGGCGCCGCGGCGGCGGCAGTTTTGGAGATAGCATCTAGACCGCGCCAGCCCACGTGGAGCGCCGTACGCGTCTTCGTTAAAACCTCTGTGATAGACGTGACCACTAGCGGATTAAGGGCGGGGCAACAGGGGCACGTGCCCCGGGCCCCCCACATTTGGGGCCCCCCACATTTAGAGTATCCTAAAATTTACAAAACTGTCGTAATTGTGATCCACAAAATTCTTAGCATGTAACGTCGAAGTGATGCGTTTCCCATGCTGTTTCTCTGGCTGAACTTTGCTGTTCAGCTGAAGGACACTTACCGATATTGCTCTGAGAATCTATCTTTCATTGATGGTCTCGAATTGTAGCGGTGAAGTCATTTTTAAAACTCAGTTGATTAAAATGCACATGAGAACCACGATGAGCCACAAGAGAGTGTAACCTCAGTATTCTCGCTATCAGAAAGTGACATTTTAAATTTTGAAACACGGATGAATACTCTCTGAATTTGCATCATAAAGTGCAGAAAAAATACAGACTATAGGCCCCCCACACAATTGCGTGCCCGGCCCCCCACACGCTTAGTCCGGCCCTGGACGTGACACTATATCGCAGTAGCCCACGTCATCGCGTAGCGGCGAATGAGCGAGGCGCGTGTCGCGCTGAGTGACAGCATTTCTTAGGGTTTCTTGTAGGAGCTACTCACGTGTACCGTAAGGCGCGCCACCACCAAATAATAATAGGGCCGTTTGGAGGTGCTCTAGCCGTGCGATGCGGAAATGTCGGTTGGATTGCGCCCCAGTTTTCGCGGAGTTAGTTTTTAGACCCCTGTCTCGATATCTGTATAAGTGGTAGCGAAAAGAGGGGGCGGCGTATTCGCTGATGGGGGCGCGGCTGCGTGCGCGCAACACCGGCCGCATGTCCGTCCCGCAGGCTGAAGCTAGACAGTATTTTTCACAAGATTTATAGGCAGCATCCCCGCAAAAACGGCACACCAACCCCACAGTGGCCGCCGTTAGGCGCGGAAGCACATGGCGGTGGTCTGGGAGCCTCCCCCAGGAATTTTTTAAAATTTCAAGGGTCCTGGCACAAAAATGATCACCATTTGAGCACACATTTTATAGTCAATGCCGTCAAATAGCTTAACAAACCGTATGGAATTTATTTCTGCTTCATTTGCCTGCGCTTATGCATACCAGCAATTAAATGCCGAATGATTCAAGCACTTCCCTTCTTTTCAGATATATCAAAGCTAGTTTTGTTACCGATTGAAATTTTGATTCCTTCAATCCTCGTCCAATGAATCGGAAGAAAAAGAGAACAAATAAAGAATATAGCCAAATTCCATCAAATTGTTTTCTGTATTTTTTTGCGCAAAATTTCGAAGGGCACTTTGAAATCTAGACCGTATTTCCCAATACGGCAAATACAGTCTGAATCCGCCCCTGACCATGGTCCATGGCATGGAATTCCTGTTTTTACTGATGGGATTAGGATTAAGTTAGGTAAAGAGTGATGGTAGTGTTTTCTGTCGTAGTATGTCCCAATGTAGAACAGGGGTAAGACTGTTAAATAGTGAAGGGGATGGATTTTGTACAAAGTTCAACCAAATTGGTACTGCAATATGAAATCGTTGAGAGCTGATATGTAATCATGCATTACTAGTAATGTAATGACATTAGGCCTTCATACCATCTGGCAATCTCAAAAAACATTCTTAGTTGTTACTAGGTAGAACTGTGTTGTGCTGTAGTTCTTGAGGAAATTCTCCTACATCCATGTACATATGTGTATCATATACTTTAGTCTTTACAGATGTATAATGACGTCAGTTCAATGAAGTAGTTTTGTTCTGTTAAACTAGAAAGATATTCTGTTTTGTCTACTGCAATAGGTGGCTAAGGTGATAGTTGGGCAGAATGGCATCTTGTCCACACCAGCTGTCTCTTGCATCATCAGAAAGTACAAAACCACTGGTGGAATAATCCTCACTGCCAGCCACAACCCCGGGGGCCCAAATGGAGACTTTGGCATCAAGTTCAACTGTTCTAATGGTGGTATGTTTCATTGTTGCCTGACATTTTGTGTATCAGGTTTAGACATTGTAACTGATATTCAATGTGAAAATGGATAAGCCATATTAATTTTTTTTATCTTTAAATCTTTCTAGGTCCTGCTCCAGATGGTGTTACTAATAAAATTTATGAGATTAGCATGGATATAGATGAATACAGCATCTCTCCAACTCTTCAGGTATTCTAATATTTTAGTAGTATGAATAATGTGTAAAGTTCCTCTATTGTTATATGAAATGAATACCCTTGTTTTTCAAGGGAGGTATATTTAGTCTTTAACTGACAGAAGGTTATTTACAACACATGGAACAGTAGCATTCCAAAGCAGAGCTCTTAATATAACCAACCGTCTGCCCTAAAGGTTAAAGTGCTATACAATGCTATTTGAGAGAAGGATACCACATTAGTCTATTTAGTAAATACAGCTAAATGTATGTTAAATTTTATGTAATATTTTAAGAAATAAACATAATTTGATCACAATTATAAAACCTTGACAGCTATAGCATTTTAATATTGATACATGTACATTCAGGTGGATGTATCGAAGATTGGTACAACTCAGCATGACGTGGATGGGCGCAAATATACGGTGGAGGTAATCGACTCGGTGTCCGATTACTTTGAGATGACTAAAGAGATCTTTGACCTTGACGCCATCAAGAAGCTTCTTGCTACTAAGAAGCTAGTAGTGCTGCTCGATGCCATGCACGGGGGTGAGTTCATCTGCTGTCCACTCTTCGTATGTTCAGGGCAGATGCAGTTTACACCCTGTCATCACCAATTGGTTTTGTACATGTAGCAGTTGTTGTCAAGAGATTATAAATTTATTGTTTAAGTGAGTGAATACCATTTCTGGTAAATCGGTACAAATTTTATCACCAATAAACAGTAATTACTGCCATGAATCGGTCAGGTGGGTTATTCATAAGTAATTTTTGTCTAAAGCTGGGTTTACACCATCAACTATTAGTTGAAAAGTTGGCGATTTGATCAACTTTTCAACTATTCGCCCTAACTTCGGCAGTGTAAATGTAAAAGTTTAGTGCTCAACTAGTTTAGAGATGAGAACATGTTCTAATTTCTCAACTTTTGGTCAGCTAATTGATAATTTTTAGCTCATCTGACATAGTCAGATGCAGCTTGTAGAATCGCAGGAGTGTGCGTCCGTGCGTGCGTCTGTCAACAGTTGGGCACAAATCTAAACGGCTCGACGTACGGATTCGAAAGTCGGGACGTGGGGGGGGTAATCCGAAAACGAGTTGGGATGTCGAAGCTGGGGGGTCAAAGGTCAAGAGGTGTAAAAGAAGGGGGAACATTCACCCATCAGCGAAACCAGCTCCGGCGTAGCGGCTTCGGCCTCGCGGCGTCTCGTGCCGGACAAAACAACAAAAAACCGCCGAAGTGGGGCGGGGAAGGACGCCGGCGCGGGACCCTGGCGATCCTTGGGGCGGGCGGGCTGGGAGGGCGGGCCGCGAGGGCGCGCGCGGCGCCGCGGCGGCGGGCGTCCGCGCAGGAGGCGGCGGCGGCCGGCGGGCGCGGGCGCCCGGGTGCTCCGGCGCCCCACGGGGGCCTTAACTTAAGGGGTATACTGAGGGAAACGGCAGGAGTTCGCCGGCCACGAAATTCTAAACGCTCGGACCTAGGCTCTGATAGTCGTGTGTAAGCCGATCAATGGTAGGAACGAAACGCGCCATGCGGTGGCCGAGTGATTGACGATCACAGACAGGGTCAAAGGTCAAATGGGCCACAGAAGCAGGATTTTATACATTTTCTGAGGACATGTGTCTGACGGAGCCTACTTGAAAAACTTTTTGTTTTGTCCAGCCGGCTGTGCGCTAGCATTTTCTATGGCGGCTGTTGATTGAGCAAGGACCATGAAGAGTGTAGCTTTCTGCTGACAATCGCCGAGTAAGTGTCGGATAAACCGTTTTTTGACCCTCAAGAGGACGTTAAACATGATTTGTTTCTCTCAAGTGCGTTGGGAGTTACCCTGTGGTGGAAAGCTTCCATTTTTAACAGCTGAAATTCCACACATAACGCTTGACTAGGAGATAATGACTCATGACTTATATATATCAAGCTCACTGGTCTGATAGTGTACATTATGAATAGTTGGAATACAGTCACTAGCACTCAAATAATTACCCAGGAGTGAGGCTGCGGATTTCCCAGATTTAATTTTCTCATCAAATTTTGGCACCAATATAGACGCAAGTGTGTACGTTCTTGAGCTTATTCCGTCCACTAATCACTGGCCTACCTTGTACTGAAATTGGTTTAGAGATATTTGCTATCGTATTGCTGTAAATTGTAATCTTGCCTGAGCTGCTCTGCCTCTGGTTGTATCAACCATTGAGCTATTTTTAACGAGCCAGATGTGCCTCGCAAGGGGTTTAATGTATCTTATTACCTGACACCATAGAATGCACGTTATGTATAGTAATAATATGGTAATTATTCGCTCCTGCTTTTTGCAATTCGTCGTCACACTGACAGCTGCCATTGCTGCAATGCTTTTGCTGACCGATGCAACGATGCCTTTGATAGCGGCCCGCCATCTATCGGAATTTTATTACACTAGTTTGAAGTGTTGTTTTTTGGGTTAGAAATGAACGTATGTATAGGACGTCTTGCTATGCACAAATGAATTTATCAGCAGAACACCAGACACCAGATGAGCCCTGTCGCTCTGCGGCACTTGTTTTGCAATGCAGCCACTCAGATAATAGCAATCAGGAGGTGTGGCCTTTCACCCAGGGGGAGATTATTTGCGTGCCCGTTTCTGCTATTGGCGGCATGCGTGCTACACCTGGTGCGAATTAATACATGCGAGTAATGCGAGTAGTCCACCGGACTAGTTGCTGCGATCTACTCATCCGCCAGTAAATCTGGTAGTTTCGGACTAATGGACTACCGTTAATTTCGAACCCTGGGTGCACATATTAGTGAAAGATTATGTGAGAGTGTTCTATGACATGTAAGCCTTACTATACACACAGTGTTATGCAAGGAGTACCGGTAGGTACCATAAGGGTCGAGAAAATGTGAAAACGGTTAGAAAAAAAGAGAAATTCAGGCATTAAATGACTTGAGCAGAAGAAAAATCCGTTATCCCTTCATGGAGGATGCCTAGACCATTATTAAAAACTACCCTGCCGTGTCTGAACTGTTGCAGGGCGTCAAGTTCCTATTTTTTCCTATTTTCTGGGCAATTCCTATTTTCTCCTATTTTCTGGACAAATTCCTATTTTTTCCTATTTTCTGGGCAATTCCTATTTTCTCCTATTTTCTGGACAAATTCCTATTTTTTCCTATTTTTGAGGTCTTTTCATTTTTCTGTATCCAGAATTGTATGTATCCTTCTCTGAATGCAGGAATTTACATTTCAGGTGACCCATTTTTCAAAAATTTCCTGAGGGAGGACCCCCAGACCCCCACCCCTTACTTTAAATTAACGTAATATACTCTTTACTATCACAGATTTTATTTCATCAGGCCATCTAATGAACACATATTCCTATTTAACATATTTGTGCTTTATAGTAAAAATTTATTGCACAATTTCTGAATAATCTTATATCATGTGCATGTCTAGTCTTTATTTTTAATCATTATCACTACTATTTTGGAGTAGTCTACATGCATGGGTGCTTATGCATGTATAAACTGCATATCAATTTTAACATGCATTTCTCATTAAAACCTCAAAATATTGTTCGCATGTGATGTAACTCCAAATATGTATATTAATAAAACCATTTGTGGTGGATCGGGATAGCTGTAGGGGTGTTGGGAGGCCATCTAATGCAAAAAAAAAATTCCTATTTAACATATATTTTCTCACCAAAATTCATATTTTCCTCCTATTTTTTCACATCTGAAATTCCTATTTTCCAATTTTTTGAGCGTCACTTGTCACTTGACGCCCTGTTGTTGTGATAAAATGCTTGTCATACTTTCCTGTTGTAGTTGTTGGCCCATATGTGAAGAGAATCTTGTGTCAAGAGTTAGGGATGCCAGAGTCCAGTGCAGTCAACTGCACACCACTGGAGGATTTTGGAGGTCATCACCCTGACCCAAACCTGACATATGCTGCTGAGTTGGTTAAAGCAATGCAGTCTGGTGATTATGGGTTAGGAGCAGCATTTGATGGAGATGGGGTATTGAGATTAAAATTCTTGCATATAAATTTTTGTGTATTGTAATGTTTTTGATTGCATTTAAATTTTATAATAAAGTCTGACCTCCTTTATCCGGCCATCCGTTATCCGGAAATCTCTATTAACCGGCCGCGATCTCGCAGTGTATGTTCTCTATTTTTCATTAATTTCCACCTAAAAATATCGTTCAAAGCTCGCTCAAATCTTGCGCGATGTACCAATCGTACGTGTGTGCGCGCGTGCGCATGTGTGTGTGTTGTCCGCTCGTGTCCGCTATGCCTCTGGTAAAATTTCCGTTTTATTTTATTTTATTTCCATTTCATATAAAATCATAAAACACGACAGTTTGTTACAAATAATCATAGCAACGAGTAAATACATTATCACATGCATAAACCCTACTGAACTGCATAGAAATGCTGTGTTTGAGCATAAATCTCATATCCGGCCAAATCCCATATCCGGATGAGTGCCGGTCCCGACGTGGCCGGATAAAGGAGGTCGGACTGTAATTATATTTTTCACATGCACGTAATCGCATTTGTTCTATGCCTAGTTGTGATTTTGTGCCTCATATTAAGAGTAGGTGCAAATTTTCAAAATAATAATTAATCTTGTTGTAAAAATGTTCCAAACTCTGGCATAAAAATGACAAACAGCTAATAAGATCAGTAGCTGAATTGCATCAGGTGAGGTGTTGATTACAGGTGTTGCTGTTTGACTTTTTAGGACAGGAATATGATCCTAGGCCATAAAGGATTCTTTGTGACTCCATCAGATTCGCTCGCAGTGATTGCAGCTAACATAGACTGCATTCCCTATTTTAAGAAGACAGGGGTTAAAGGCTTTTCAAGAAGCATGCCAACAGCTGGTGCTGTTGACAGGTATATTAAAGTCTGTGTTAAAACATTAGTGCCGGGCTTCAACATTCGCTGATTAAACTAACTATTGCGAGATTTTTGCTCAGAAAAACTAAATATAGCTGAATATAGTCTCACCTGACAGCGGAAATATCACGGATTACACCAACATTAGAAATACTATGATTTTATGCAGTTATAGCATAGAAAAATGGATTTGACCACATCGTAACAGCAATAAATTTTATCGTATGCCGATAATGCCTAATGGCAGAATTGGTAAACTTGTATTTGTGTCGGTGATGAATTGAAAATAAGTGCATGATTTTTTTAAGAGAGCCTGTACTATGTCTACGGCAGATAAGCAGTGGTGCCACAAGCTAATCCATACTTCCGGCTAGTTCACAGGCCAGCCAAGATGACAGGAAAATATTGTTTACAAAAAGTAGTAGTTCGAAACTGGCACTTTTTTGGTGAATACCAAGGTTCTAAGACATTTTATTGTTACTCAAGCAATAACGGTAGGTGTCATGAAAGTGGTGAAAACACTGGAAAACTCTCGCAATAGTTACTTTAAAACAATGTTACATTTAAAAAACATTAATACCTTTTCATTGTGTTCATAGTTTTGTTTCGTTACCTAAACTTCAAAGATTGATAGTGTTTGTGACTCTGTTACTTTTATAATGAAGGAGACAAACATACCCTATTAATTATTACCCCTTATAATTGGGGTGTAGATATTTTCACAACTGTTATTGATGTTGTAAAAAATCATAAAATGTACCTAGTACCTAGTGCCATGTAACTTTTCTGCTAATTATGTACACATATACAGGGTGGCAGCAAAGATCGGAAAGGAATTCTTTGAGGTTCCAACTGGCTGGAAGTATTTCGGTAATCTCATGGATGCTGGGCGTTTATCACTATGTGGCGAGGAAAGCTTCGGTACCGGATCTGATCATATCAGGTGAGGTTTTGGCTTTACGGTTATTGTATCCCCCGCGACGAAGTCGGCGGGGATATTATGGTTTCATGTCTCCCCAGCCGCCGCCGCCGCCGCTCGGTCTGCCGCAGAGAATTTCCCTTCCGCTCTATAACTCGACCCCTAATTGACCTAGCGCTACCAAACTTGGTATACTTACACGTCTTGGGGAGAAGGTGAGCAGCGTACCAAAACCAGGTTACTGCGACCTTTATTTGATCTTTACCTTGACCTTGATCATATTTCCCTTCCGCTCTGTAACTCGGCCCTTAATTGACCTAGCGCTACCAAACTTGGTATACTTACACATCTTGGGGAGAAGGTGAGCAGCATACCAAAACCAGGTCACTGCGACCTTTATTTGACCTTTACCTTGACCTTGATCATATTTCCCTTCCGCTCTCTAACTCGGCCCCTAATTGACCTAGCGCTACCAAAACCAGGTCACTACGACCTTTATTTGACCTTGATCATATTTTCCTTCCGCCCGGTAAAATACTCAACTTAACAGTGATGATATTGTGATGAAGATTGTTTAATAGTGCTGAGTCATAGTGCAGGAAATTGCATCGAAGAGGTGTTACTTCAACAAAATGCCCGAACATCAGCGAAATGATCCCCCCCCCCCCACAACTGAGGACCTGTCTACGCCACTGTATATATATATATATATATATATATATATGATATTTTTTCATTCGAATGTAGGGCCTATCACAATAAATTCATCATTCTCCTATCTGCTATTTATGTATTGTATTTTTTCTAGTTTTCTTTAATGCACGTGCCAACACACACACACACACATATATAGGCCCTATATATATATCAAGAGCGGATAATACGCTCTTGTATATATAATTTACGCGCGCACACACACACGCGGGGCACACGCGCGCGCGGAGATGAG